CACACACAGACTCACACACACAGACTCACACACAGACTCACACACACACACTCACACACACAGACTCACACACAGACTCACACACAGACTCACTCACACACAGACTCACTCACACAGGCTCACACACAGACTCACTCACACACAGACTCTCACACACAGACTCACTCACACACAGACTCACACACACACACTCACACACACAGACTCACACAGACTCACTCACACACAGACTCACTCACACACAGACTCACACACACACAGACTCACTCACACACAGACTCACTCACACACAGACTCACACACACACAGACCCACACACACAGACTCACACACACACACACACTCACACACACAGACTCACACAGACTCACTCACACACACAGACTCACACACACAGACTCACACAGACTCACTCACACACAGACTCACTCACACACAGACTCACACAGACTCACTCACACACAGACTCACTCACACACAGACTCACACACACACAGACCCACACACACAGACTCACACACACACACACTCACACACACAGACTCACACAGACTCACTCACACACACAGACTCACACACACAGACTCACACAGACTCACTCACACACAGACTCACTCACACACAGACTCACACACACACACACACTCACACACACAGACTCACACAGACTCACTCACACACAGACTCACTCACACACAGACTCACACACACAGACTCACACAGACTCACTCACACACACAGACTCACACACACACACAGGCTCACACACACACTCACACACAGACTCACACACACACACTCACACACACAGGCTCACACACACACACTCACTCACACACAGACTCACACACACTCACACACACACACAGAGACTCCAATCTGTCAGTCACTCTGGCGTCGGCTAATGAAGCTAAGCTAATTCTAGCTGTAATCTCTGTTCTGTCGATGCGTCTGAAACATCGTCGCTGTGTCTTTATTACCTGTTACTCACCAGGAGCCACTGCAGCCTGTGAGGCAGCGCTCGGGGTCAGATCCACATTGTTAGAGCCAATCTATAGAGAAATATTTTTGATACTGTTTCAGTTATTATGTTACATGTTTGATTCTGTATGATATGTTGTTAGAGAATAAATGCTGCGCATTTAATTTGTGTCGGGCAAGAAAACATTACAGCGTATGTGTGGTAGCAGGTTAGAGTGAGCCAGGACAGCAATGGAAATGTGTGGTCTATACTGAAGGAACAGTTGGTCAATGATGAAGGTTTACTGACACTAATGTGTGAAGTGGAGTCAGTACTAAATGACAGACCGCTGACTACAGTAACAGATGATCCAACAGACCTGGAACCACTGACTCCTAACCACTTGCTACTGATGAAGAAAAAGCCGGGTTTGCCTCCTGGACTTTTCAGAAAGGAAGACTCATACTCGCGCCGCCGTTGGAAGCAAGTGCAATATCTTGCTGACTTGTTTTGGAAGGGGTGGGTGCGCGAGTACTTGCCTATGCTTCAAGAGCGTCAAAGGTGGACTCAGGTCAGAAGAAATGTAATTGTGGGGGACATTGTAATGGTGGTCGACGAGTCGGCGCCAAGAAGCTCGTGGATGTGAAGCTCGTGGATGTTGGGGAGAGTTCTTCGTGTCATTCCAGATGCTAAGGGTCTGGTGCGGCGTGTGATCATCAAGACAAAGACTAACACCTTAGAAAGACCCATTGACAAGCTATGCTTGATCTGTGAGAATGTCATGTAACTTGGAATGAGAAAATACAGTATATGTTCTGGTCGATTACAGGTTTTGTGAAAGATAATTTGAATGACCATGTGTGATACAGGAAGTGTTAATGTTATTTGGCTCTTTTGTAAGTGTTCGCTAATTGTCAGTCTTCACGCCCTCCAATTATGGGGCTGGAAATGTTAGAGCCAATCTATAGAGAAATATTTTTGATACTGTTTCAGTTATTATGTTACATGTTTGATTTTGTATGATATGTTGTTAGAGAATAAATGCTGCGCATTTAATTTGTGTCGGGCAAGAAAATATTACAGCGCATGTGTGGTAGCAGGTTAGAGTGAGCCAGGACAGCAATGGAAATGTGCGCTGCAGCAGCAAATCGGTTTTTGTTTGTATGTACGAGTCAGAAATAAATCCGAACAGCTCACATTAAGAACTGGAAGAATGATTTTTTCGAAGCTTGGGACAGAAATTCGCCACTACACACATCATTGAACCTTTTATTACCTAAACACTTGTTACAGGAGGAGGTGGTGTTACGGCTGTGGCCATGAGGACCCTGTGTGGGCTGTTTTCTTTCTGTGTTTCTGTACTGTGCTTAAGACTCTTTCCAGGTCCCTCCCCTAATGAAGAGTAGTGAGCGGCTGATTGGACCATGGAGCAGGGGACTACCTTCAAAAAGCCGCTCTGACAGATCCACAGAGAGAGGGAGAGAGAGTGGAGCGAGCGAGTAGCTTGACAGCCGACACCCTGACCCTGGTTTTCCCAGCCTGTATTTTTATTGTGTATTTGTGTGAGCGTGAATTGTGAAAGCCGCTCCTGGTGCATCAGCTGAGAGCGTAGGCACTCTTGGGCTGAAGCGGAAGGGGTGAGCCGCCTTTTCTTTTGGAACCGTTTTCTCCTGTTTTCCGGGTAGGGAGCGAGGGATAGCTCTGTCATTTGTTTGTTCTGTTTCTTTCCTAGGGTTTAGTTTTTCTCTGGTGGGACTTAGTTGGTTTTGTTTATTATTTTGGCCTGGGCTCACCCTGGAGCTATGCTTCTTTTCCTTAAATAAAATCACCTTTTTACTCACAACTGGTTTGGATGTTTGGCTTGGGAACCAGGGCGGGGATTTGTCTCTCTCTCCTCCAACCTTATGTGCGTCCCTACACGCCTAGACTAGGGGCGTAACAGGTGGGCTGATGTGGCAACCAGAAGGTTGCGAGGAAATGTTTTTATTGTCATAGGCTTTGATTTGACTCTTTGGTTTCTCATTTCTCCACAAAATAGACGTGTGTCAGCGTTCCTGAGGACAGTCATGTGGGATGTGTAAACCACTGCAGGAACAGCCACGGATCAAATCAGCCACTCGGCACCTTTTATTAGTTCAGAGCAGCAGACTCTGTCAGCCAATCAGTCTCCATCAGCACGGCTCTGCAGCTGTGAAACAGCTGCTTCATCTTCCTCCTCCTCACTGACAGGATTACTTCTAACAGCTCTGTGATTGGCCAGTTCTGATGAACTGATGGAGGCTGTTTCTATTTCCTCCTCAAACTCTGCACACGCACATCAGCTGATGAAATCTGGACCGCTGTTTGAAGCCCTCTGAGCTCTGCACTGAAAATCAGTGTGTGCCTTTCCCGTGTGTGTGTGGAACAGGAAGTTGAAGCATGCGGCTGCTCTCGGGATAAACAGATGAATAAAATCAAAGTCGTGTCACTTTGATGAATTCATCCTGTTTGTCGTCTACATCGTGTGCAGTGAAGGAGGAACAGCTGTTTCCTGTTGCTCAGCAACCGCACGGTCTGTCTGCAGGACGCAGTGTGTGTGTGTGTGTGTGTGTGTGTGTGTGTGTGTGTGTGTGTGCGTGTGTGTACGCGTGCATGCGTGTGTGTGTGTGTGTGTGTGTGTGTGTGTGTGTGTGTGTGTTTTCATTAAGCTGTCAGGTGTGTCCGCAGTGACAGAGGTGAAAGGTTTGGTATGTGCTCCGTCCTGTCATCATCACCATCTTCAGTGATGTTTTCAGCGGGAGAAACATCTCATCATCATCAGGTGACTTCTTCAGTGTCAGCTGACATGAGTACCAGCCCAGTGGACACTCCTTCAGTGATGAGGATGTAACATCCTGGACAGGGAGGAACGCTGGTTTGAGGGCGGAGTCAAGGAGGCCATTTACGTGAAAAGGGAAAGACCATCTCTGAATGGAGGAGGGGCCTAAGGGTACATCTGTCACCATCTTACAATGATGTGATTGCAGCCATTCCCCAACTCTCTGTGAATGGGACTCATGGACATTGATCAGTGGTTGTTGATCAATGGTCATGAGAATTTGCATATTAATGATCATAAACTGACCTACCAGCACATTGTGACCTAACCCTAACCCTGCTGGTTTCAGTCATTATGCAAATGTCCTGTTTATAAGGTTGATACCTGCAGTCAGCTAAGACTGAAGACGTCACCTGATGATGATGATGAAACGTTTCTCCCACTGAAAACATCCAGATGAACAGAATCAACTTTCAGGATTTCCTTTCCTGGATGACTGAGCGTGCATGAACACATTTAAGAAATGAAACATTTCACAGTCACAGGTTGTCAGACTGTCACTTCCTGCACCAGCATCTCCTTCCTGCTGAATGTTCTTCCACAATAAGAGCAGGTGTTTTATTTCAATACTGAGAGAACAGGAGAACTCAAGGTCAGTTTGCTGCTGTGATGAGACTTCACACACGAGGTCACCATGCTAACAGTTTCCCCTTACTTCCAGTCTTTGTGCTAAGCTAGGCTAATCACCCATGGCTGTCACTCTCACAGAATCTGCTGCAGAACAAAAGGATCAAACTTTCTTTGTGTTTTTGTTCATTTAACAAGCCACAGGGAGACCGACCACTCGTTAGCATCGAATTAATTGGTGCAGCTAATTAACTGGGCCAAGTGGCTGCAGGGAGAGATAGATGGTCGAGAGACACCAGCAGTCACTGGAGACTTTCAGGCTGCCAGGGTTGTTAATTATTGATCAGTCAGCAACTTCCTGAAAACAGTTACCTTCATCACCTCCTCCTCCTCCTCCTCCTCTCTAGGAAGAAAAAAGCTTTCATGACCAACAAAGACGATTCAGTCTCGCTCTGATTTCTGAAGGACTAAACGGATTCTTCACATCATCATCATCATCTCCACACATCTCATCAAACATTTACAGCAGAAACAATCCAAACCCTTCTTTTGTGAGTGCAGCGGCGCCCCCTTCAGGACACACTCTGCCATCACTCTTTGTTCTCCTGTCTGCAGGGCTGACAGCGGCGGCAGCGATGGCCGAGATTCTGAGGCTCCAGAAGATGCGGATGATGATGCGTTTCCATGGCAGCAGTGATCAGCAGCGACCTTACAGCAGACCTGAGTCAGAGAACGAGGACACGGGTTCGATTCCATCAGTTTATTCCAATCTGACACTATAGCAAATCAAAGGACGGCACCAAAGTCTAAACCTTTGTTCCCTCAGTAGGAGGCAGTGAAGGATCCTGGGAAAAGGAGCAGCAGCTCCTCTCTCCTCCCCCCTCAGTTGTAGCGCCTCCTGCTGGTTCGGCATCCCTACATTTCAACACTTTGCAGCAGCAGAGCTCGCTGTTAGCCAACCGTGAGTCACCGCTCTCTTCTCATTGGACGCCTGATCATTGTTAGCTTAGCGTCACAGCACATAACTTATCTGTGTCCGCCCTCCTCAGGCCTGTCAGACCTTCCATTTATGGTTATGCCACATCCCATCCTCCCTGTGGGCTTGCCTCCTGCCAGTGTTGCTATGGCGATGAATCACATGAGTCAGCTCAGTGATTTAGCAAACATGGCCGTTGTGTCACAGGTCCACACAGAAGAGAGCAAGGTAAAAGCTAGCAACAGCAAAAGTACCAGAGCTAATGCCAAAAGAGCCAATGCTAAAGGGACTAATGCTAGCAGTGTTAATATTACCAGCACTAATGCTAAGTGTGTGTTCAGGAGTCTCCTCTAGGTAGCCCCTCCCCCACTCCCAGCGATGATGAGCTCCACCCACAGGAACCAACCAGCCAATCGCCTTCTAGGGCATCTTCATCATCATCATCATCATCACCCCTTCCACCAGCACAAACACCAGAGCTGGGTAACCACTCACAGTAGACATACTTATGTGAACTATGACAGCTTTGCTCTTTGTCGCCTCAAAGTCCCCGTAATGTGATTGTAACAGTATGTCCCCACAATACTTCTAAACAAGAACACACACGTACACAGTCACTGATCTGCACGTTTTCATGTGTTCACACTACAGATGGGGAGCCAGGAAACATCAAACAGGCTTTGAAAGAAAAAGGTGTGTGTGTGTGTGTGTGTGTGTGTGTGTGTGTGTGTGTGTGTGTGTGTGTGTGTGTGTGTGTGAGTGTGTGTGTGAGTGTGTGTGTGTGTGAGAGAGGAGCAGCTGGTACATGAACAGTAACGGGTCCTGAGGTGTTTGGATACAGACTCCGGCCCAACTGATATTTATGTCTCTGAGTCTGTGGCCCTGGTTCAGCTTCATCCTCGGCTCGTCCATCAGACTCAGTTTAAAGGACGACTGCATGTGTAACTCAGAACAGGATAACATGCAGATAATGGGCCTGACTTTAGCTTCAGCTCGTGAGATCGCCCTCTGCTGTTGGTATCAGCAGTGACCGAGCTAATGTAAGACATGACAGTGTAGCGCCAGTGATGGTTCTACTGTGGAGATCGTGTACGACAGCAGCGAGAACAGATGATGACGTAGAACATTAAAGTACAATAAAGTCCAGATGTTTTTATTTTTGTTTAAGCTGCTTTTCTCCTACCTGCAGAGGACAGCCTGCTGCCCCTCCCCCTCATCAAACCAACCTATGAGAAGCTGGCACTCACCTCCCAGTCACTGTCAATCAAACACACAAACCCCACCTTTGCTCCGTTCCTATTGGCTGAGGGTCTGTCATCGATGGAGACGCTGCTGACCAACATACAGGTGACAGACCGAGATGATGGAGGTGAAATATTCATATAGAGACATCAATGTAGTGTTGTGGAAGTTTTCCCTTAAATAAAGCCTGCAGACGAGCGGTGAGCAAAGAACACAAAGAACAGAAAACCAAGCTTGGTGGAGCCTGCATGACCGCGGGGCAGGTCAGCAGAGTCTCCCTGAGCCTAGCATGGCTCTCAGTTAAATATCTCCAGGAACAAAAGGCAGTGCACAGCTGTTTCACACCTTAAGGTTCACACTCCCTTGCTGCCTCCCAGAGTCCTCGAAGAGACAAAAGACTCTTCCTGTGGAGTTGTCTGCTTCCCCCAACTTCCTTACTAGACCCCCACCATTTGTCTTAACGTATGAGTGTCAGACAGTTAAAATCCAGTGGCACCAAGGCATCATACAATAAAATAATGTGATTAATACGTAAGTAAAAGAAATTCCTCTACAGTCGAGACATCAGTTCAGCTCATGAGGAGGAATGTTGACCATGAAATCAAAAAGCTGAGACTGGAATATTTCAAATTGAGCAAATGTGAAATCAATACAAGGTTACATGACGAGGATGTGGGAACTCGGGAATCTGAGACATGTTAATGTGCAGAATTTAAAATACTGTGAGGGAACATCAGAGATGCAGAGACGAAAAGTACCTGAGAACATCAGGGACTTACCTGCGTGTGTTTCTCAGGGTCTCCTGAAGGTGGCGGTGGAGAGCGCTCGCTCTCAGGACAAACAGAGCCAGCAGGAGAGGAAAGAGTTAAAGCTGGAGCTGGAGAGAGAGAGGGACGCCCGACAGACTCTGCAGAGACAGCTGAGCTCCGAGCTGCACAACAGAGGTGAGACAGGTGTAACAGGTCAGAGGTCAAGTGAGCTCTAATGGACTAGAGGTGAGAGAGGTGAGAACTGTTCACACTACCTGTCCTCTTCGTCTCATCTTCCTCATCAGTGTCGATCCAGCGGAGGCTGAAGAAGGAGAAGAAGGCAAAGAGGAAGCTGCAGGAGGCGCTGGAGTCGAGGAGGAGAGAGCAGGTGGAGCGAGCGCTCAAACACTCGGACGGCCTCACAGGTGAACAAGCAGCAGAGCACAGGAGCTGTATCTAACCTGTGATTGGCTGAGCTGTATCTAACTTGTGATTGGCTGAGGTGTATCTAACCTGTGATTGGCTGAGATGTATCTAACTTGTGATTGGCTGAGGTGTATCTAACTTGTGATTGGCTGAGATGTATCTAACCTGTGATTGGCTGAGATGTATCTAACTTGTGATTGGCTGAGCTGTATCTAACTTGTGATTGGCTGAGCTGTATCTAACCTGTGATTGGCTGAGGTGTAGCTAACCTGTGATTGGCTGAGGTGTATCTAACCTGTGATTGGCTGAGCTGTATCTAACCTGTGATTGGCTGAGATGTATCTAACCTGTGATTGGCTGAGCTGTATCTAACCTGTGATTGGCTGAGGTGTATCTAACCTGTAATTGGCTGAGCTGTATCTAACCTGTGATTGGCTGAGGTGTATCTAACCTGTAATTGGCTGAGGTGTATCTAACCTGTGATTGGCTGAGCTGTATCTAACCTGTGATTGGCTGAGCTGTATCTAACCTGTGATTGGCTGAGCTGTATCTAACCTGTGATTGGCTGAGCTGTATCTAACCTGTGATTGGCTGAGGTGTATCTAACCTGTGATTGGCTGAGGTGTATCTAACCTGTGATTGGCTGAGGTGTATCTAACCTGTAATTGGCTGAGGTGTATCTAACCTGTGATTGGCTGAGCTGTATCTAACCTGTGATTGGCTGAGCTGTATCTAACCTGTGATTGGCTGAGCTGTATCTAACCTGTGATTGGCGACGCAACGAAGGCTGTCCAACTTTGTAGACTCCTCCGAATGCAGCTGACAAATGTGTCCTCCTTTTACCTGAATTTGAAGGATGGGTCGGGTGTGTCCTTCGTGGCCCACCATATCCCAGAATTCATAGCGCGGCCCAGCCAATTCCAGTTTTCAACAATGGCGGCAGCTGCTTAGTTTTAATTGATTCCGTAAAGGACTCGATGTTACTCTTCCTGATGATGCTTTAGATGGAGAGACTTTTGAGGGATGGTTGTTATGAGGAGAGGCATAACAGAAACTTTGCCAGCAGCACACACGACTTTCAGTCTTTTACCCAGGCTAATCTGCCATTTTCCCTCCTTGGTTAGGTTTAGGGATTAGAGATCTGATCTGCATTATCATTTTAAAATTTGGGACACATCATCAGTTGTGGACCTTGGATTCATCGGGTGTTTCGGCCATTATCACTAGAATCCCTCATCCAAGGAGGCCCTGCCAGGGTTGATCAGGCCCTGGAGTGTCACTGGTTTATGTTAAATTGTTATATCTCTTCTTCTTTCTTCTGTTTAGTTTCCTACAGTTTATTTTCTATCTATTCACTGCAACTGAGAAATAAGGTTCAAGGTTCTTTATTTGTCACATGCATAGTTATACAAGTATAACACACAGTGAAATGTAGCCTGACACGCTCCTCGACATGTGCAAAAATTGGGGGGGTATAGAGGAAGAACATTATATATATATATATATATATATATATATATATATATATATATATATATATTAGGGTGCAACGATATTCGTATCGATATTGAACCGTTCGATACAGTGCTTTCGGTTCGGTACGCATATGTATCGAACAATACAATTTTTTTCAATTTATTTTTTATTTTTTATTTTTTATTTTTTGTGTCCCATTTGGATCTATAGCCATCAGAATTGTTGTCTTGAGGCCAAGAAAGATGCCAAGAGGATTTATTTTAAGTGGATCATCATATTGGTCCATTTGATTGACCTTTATTATAATTATGAATTTATTTTATTTTCAGTTGCAAACGGGACAGACATGACTGTGGGATAGGACAGGGGGAAAGAATGAAAGAAAGAGGGGGAGAGAAAGAAAGAAAACCAAAGGGGAGAAAAAAAAAAGAACAATACAAAATTTGTAATTTATTTTATCAACTTTCCTTCTGACGATGCTGTCTGTGTGGAGCGCTCAGTGAATCTGCATTTGACTACTCCGCCTAGGCTCGAGAGTGCAGCCTAGGCGGAGTAGTCGAACGCAGATTCACTGAGCACTCAACACAGACAGGATGGTCAGAAGGAAGAGCGCAGGGCAAGCTAGCGAGACAGAAGTGGACCTCCCCACCCTCATTCAGATCTGGCGTTTGGAATTATTTTGGTTTTCATGTGACGTATGACCCTGAAGGTAAGCGAGTCATGGACTAAAGTAAAACAGTATGTTGGATGTGCCATGCAATGCTCAATTACATGGGTGGGAGCTAGTGTGTTAGCGCAGTTAGCTCGTTAACGTGTTGGCCGTCTAGCCCCTCTGTATAGGGTAGCTCGTTAACGGAGATTTGCCGTGTTGTGGCGTTAAGGTTATTTCAACGAGATTAACCTGAAAGCACTAGTGGGAACACAACGAATATGACTGCACATTTACACCGACATCATCCTAGTGCAAAGACAAAAACAACAAGCATGCATGCTACAAACTTTAGCCGAGTCATTTAGACAGCTGTTAGCACAGGATTCTCCTTATGGGGACCTGATATGTTTAATATGCTGCTGAGAATATAGCCCAGAAGAAGCGGATAGTATAGCTTTTATTTTGGAAAGAGACATTTCTCTGTAATAAACTCTCTTTTCCAAAGATGAGTGATTCCTCAATCAGATACAGGGCTCGCAATATCGCTAGCCCGACGTCCCGGGGCTATCTCTGCCCTGCCTGTCGGGCTATTGTAGGAAAAATATATGTCAATGCTTTTGCATTCTTTCAGAAATGTAGCTGGGTAATTATGTCATTGGGTGAGCCACTGTCAATATGTGACATATTGAAATCGTGTTTGAATTTGCGCTTGTTTTTTTGCTTTCACTTTGCAATCGCGCGAACTGTGTATAGAGAGCGACAGCACTGATCTGTGAGTGATGATAATTTGTGCACAAATTCCTCTGACATCGTCTTATTAATCGTTAGCTTACTATGCAAACATGACAAGTGAAATCTCCCGCAGCTTAAACATGTGAGAGGCTGATCGCGCAGAGAATCGCTGAGCTTATGTGAGTGCGGCAGGATATATATTTCACTACGATGACCTGGATGACTGAGAACCTTCACAGACAGATATATATTTTAGTTCTGCTGAGCCAAATAAGACAGGTCAGGGTGAAGAAGTGACAGCCAAAGAAAAGCTTACCACAAAACGGAGAAGTTATGACAAATCAGACTATAAGGCAAAAAGAAAGTGCAGCTTTATGGTTTCATGGACAAAAGAATTTCTGTGGCTGCAATATGACGAGCTAAAAAACAACACGCACAAGGGTTAGGGTTAAATTTAAAAACTGTACTTTTGTGTTAAAATATATATTTATAATTTTAATAAATGACAAATTAAAAAGGCATGAACATTTTTTTTTGTATCGAAAAAATATCGAACCGTGACACCAAAGTATCGAACCGAACCGAACCGTGAATTTTGTGTATCGTTGCACCCCTAATATATATATATATATATATATATATATATATATATATATATATATATATATATCTACATATAGTATATACATTGGGTGAATGTGCAGTAGTAGCAGCAAGCAGGTGAATTCTGTACATTAATATGAATAGACATCTGACTATTTTACAGGATAGACAATATAAACATATTTAAAATTAAAGGAATTTGGAATGTACATTGTGCCTTGGTTTAGTGTCTGGAAGAGTCCTGTCTCAGTCAATTATAGATGATGTGAGAGGGCGGGTGGGTGTGTTTAGGGCCTGGATGGCTTGGGGATAGAAGCTCCTCTTGAGTCTCTCTGTCCTTGCCCGGAAGATGCTGAACCTTCTACCAGATTGCAGAAGTTGGAACAGTTTGTTGCCAGGATGGGACGGGTCCTTCAGTATCTGCGCTGCTCTAGTCCGGCATCTCCTGGTGTAGGTGTCCTGAAGCGGGGGGAGAGCAATCCTGCAGCAGCGTTCTGCTGTACGGATCACTCTCTGGAGAGCTTTTTGTTCCTTCACACAGCTGTTCCCAAACCACGATGTCATGTTCTGTGTGAGGATGCTCTCCACAGCGCCTGTATAGAAAATCCTGAGGATCTTTGGAGAGACCCTGAACTTCCTCAGTTGTCGTAGGTGATACAGGCGCTGCCTAGCCTTTTTGGTCTGGACCTGAATGTGGGCAGCCCATGTCAGGTCTGAGGAGATGTGGACACCAAGATACTTGAAGGACTGCACCCTCTCCACTGGAGCTTCATTGATGATAATGGGCTTGTAGTCTCTGTGCTGACCCCTTCTGAAGTCCACCACCAGCTCCTTGGTCTTGCTGACGTTCAGCTGGAGGTGGTTGTCCTGGCACCACGATGCCAGATTCTTCACTTCATCCATGTAGGCCGCCTCATCGTTGTTGGAGATGGCACCCAACACCACTGTGCCGTCAGCAAACTTCACAATGGTGTTGGAGCCATGGGTGGCCACACAGTCTGAAGTGTAGAGGGAGTAGAGCAGTGGCGAGAGGACACATCCCTGAGGTGCTCCTGTGTTGATGGTGATGCTGTTGGAGAAGCACCTGCCCACCCTCACCACCTGAGTTCTGCCAGTGAGGAAGTCCAACACCCATGCACACAGACGGCTGTTGAGTCCCAGATCCCTCAGCTTTGTGAACAGTCTGCAGGGCACTATTGTGTTAAACGCTGAACTGTAATCAACAAACAGCATTCGCACATAGTTACCCTGTTTCTTGTCCACATAATACTTACCTCTTTAGCATTTATGGAGCCTCACTTCTTCAAAGAGACAGAAAAGGTGACAGAGAGAAGTAAGACAAGTAAGTAAGATAAGATAGGAGAGAGCAGAGAGGAGAGCCGGAAGGGGGGCACCCGATCTGGCTTCCCACACCTCCCCGCTGGATCGGGCTGTGCGCTCTACCTCCCCACTGCCTCCCAGAAAAGGGAAGAAGAGCAGAGGAGAGAAGAGCGGAATATTTTTCATTCTTCTTTTTAGTTTCAGTACCATGAGGTTAACTGCGCAGTCCCCAGGAGGCACTGAGACAGCTGTAGCAGTCAACCAGCAAAACTTCTAATGTTATGTTTTACCCTTTGACGCCCCCTGCTGAGGCAGGCCCACCACGATCAATCCTTGGCATGTGTATCGCGGTTAGCTGACTGCCTTAGCTGCCCAAGTGATGTCAGCCCTTTTTAGCCACAGCCAGTGACTGGTCCTCTCAGCAATTCAATTCAATTCAATTTTATTTATATAGCGCCAAATCACAACATAAGTCGCCTCAAGGCGCTTCATAGATACAGAGAAAAACCCAACAATCATATGACCCCCTATGAACAAGCACTTTGGCGACAGTGGGAAGGAAAAACTCCCTTTTAACAGGAAGAAACCTCCAGCAGAACCAGGCTCAGGGAGGGGCGGGGCCATCTGCTGTGATTGGTTGGGGTGAGAGAAGGAAGACAGGATAAAGACATGCTGTGGAAGAGAGACAGAGGTTAATAACAGATATGATTCGGTGCAGAGAGGTCTGTTAATACAGTGAGTGAAGAAGAAACACCCAATGCATCATGGGAATCCCCGGCAGCCTACATCTATTGCAGCATAACTAAGGGAGGATTCAGGGTCACCTGGTCCAGCCCTAACTATATGCTTTAGCAAAAAGGAAAGTTTGAAGCCTAATCTTGAAAGTAGAGATAGTGTCTGTCTCCTGAATCCAAACTGGAAGCTGGTTCCACAGAAGAGGGGCCTGAAAACTGAAGGCTCTGCCTCCCATTCTACTTTTAAATACTCTAGGAACAACAAGTAGGCCTGCAGAGCGAGAGCGAAGTGCTCTAATAGGGTGATATGGTACTACAAGGTCATTAAGATAAGATGGGGCCTGATTATTTAAGACCTTGTGTGTGAGGAGCAGGATTTTGAATTCTGGATTTAACAGGAAGCCAAAACAGGAGAAATCTGCTCTCTCTTTCTAGTCCCTGTCAGGACTCTTGCTGCAGCATTTTGGATCAGCTGAAGGCTTTTCAGGGAGTTTTTAGGACTTCCTGATAATAATGAATCACAGTTGTCCAGCCTGGAAGTAATAAATGCATGAACTAGTTTTTCAGCGTCACTCTGAGACAGGATATTTCTAACTTTAGAGATGTTGCACAAATGGAAGAACGCAGTCTTACATATTTGTTTAATATGTGCGTTGAAGGACAGCAGTGTTAGCTAGCTCTCTTATAGCCTGCCATTGTGCCTGTCCTCTGATCCCAATCTCTCTGAGCAGTTTTGCTGTTGTACTAGCAACAAAGCCCCTGCACCCCACTTCCACCTGGCGCACCTTGATCTTCCAGCGTCTGTCCTCTGCCTCAGCTGCCAAGTTGGCATACCGCAGCTTCTTACGCTCAAACGCTTCCACAGTTGCTTCCTCCCATGGTACCGTCAGCTCAATGACATACGCAAGTTAGACCAAAGGACGAGGTCTGGTCGCAGAGTAGTTGTTACGATCTCTGTGGGAAAAATTAGCCAATTATCCAAGTCCACTTGCATCTGCAATCCCTGGCAACCTTCAGCGGGCCCAGGTCCGGGGTTGAGGGGCTCGTCCTCGGCTTGTCCCATTCCCGGACAAATGTTGATGAAAACTGACGCTCCTCTTGGTTTGTGAAAGGTTGAGCGTTGATGGATTTCCTTTTGCGCTCTCAGCCAGACACCAGAGGACCTGGTTGTGTCTCCATGTGTGTCTGCCCTGAGTAAGGCTTACTCTTATTACTTTTTCTCGGTCACAAAATAAACTTTTAACATATTTCCAGGCGAGAATGTAGCTGTGTAAACTTCAAATATCTGCTCAGTTTATCAAGACGTCCAACGTTTTCGGAGACGTCTGTTACCCACCAGCTCGACAGCGAGCCGGGAGGTCGCGGGTCACTGAAGCCGAGAACGGCACAACTCCCGGCACATCACTTTCAGATCACCGCGGACTTTCACTACTCAGGTTAAACATGATATATAAAACACTTGGACAACCTAAAACGTTATTGTTGGGCTTTTTGTTTTATTTGCTCGTGAGTAAATCGGTTTGGCTGAGATCAGTGTTATTAGATTAGGTTAGATTAGATTAAACTTTATTAATCCCCCGGGTGGTTTTCACACAGCTGAATAAACGTCAAACAGAAAACTGATTAAACAGATGGTCGAGTTTACTCCAGTGTCCTGTTACATTTTAGACAGCAAGGAGCAGACGGACGAGTTTATTTAACTCCACCGAGACAGCGCTGACGCAGATCTGAAGGCGAGACCGTCCAGTTTCAGAGCTGTTTACTTCCGGCCTTCTCGGTCTTCAAAGGAACCCGCCCACGTAGACCGCGAAGGTGGATGCAGCCCAAGAATTTGGACACCCCTCTTGACTTCATGTCCTTTTTTTTTTTTTCTTTTTTTTTTTGCCTGTCCCGTTTGGCTCTTTTGCATCAGAATTGTTGTCTAAAGGCAAAGAAAGATGCCCAACGGATTTACTTTACCAAACTGACCATCCCAGCCTTGCCATAATGGTCTATTTGATTCACCTTTTATTGTTTATTTTATTTTCACTTACTGAATACGGGACAGACTTGACTGGAGGAAAGAAGGGGAGAAAGAAAGAGGGAAAGAGAAACAGCTGAGAAGAGGGACGGGGGAGAAGGGCAAAAAACAAAAACCAACAGAACGGGCAGAGAAAAAAAAAATGCATATATCAATCACCTGGATCACCTGCTGAGAAAGAAAAAAGAAAGCAAGCAGAAGAGAACAAGAGTAATAGAATAAACAACATCACAATGATATATGGGAATATAACAGTAAATACTAAATGTTAAACATTATTGTGCAGCACATAAGATCAACAGAACACAGTGTGCTTTGAGGTAGGAGCCAAAAAGGGTGTAGTTTGTGGGTGTGATCACCCGTGTGTACACCTGTGAGCATGGACGCGCTTGTTTTTTTAAAAGGTTCCTTCATGTGATGATCTGCTAGAGGGTGTGGGGGGGGCCACAGCCCCGTCCTCCAGGGCATGAAGCAGGTATGGAGGAGATCAAAACTCCAGACATCCAGAGGCCCCCAGAACACAAGAGACCAAGGAAGACCAACAGAGGGGCAGCCGCGCCACTGTCCCAGAAAGAGCTGAGGAGAGTCCCAGATGAGGGCTCACTCAGCAGCCGCGGAGCAGAAGCCAGGGGGAGTTGCAGTGACGCGCCCGTGAGCTCCGCCGGCAGCCAGCCGTGCCTGAGTGACCGAGCCCCAGGCCGAGAGGCCGAGGGCACCCCACCTCCGAAGTGGCCCGAGCGAGCCCCAGGCTCCAGGCCCCGATAAGCGGCCGCCAAGGAGTGAGCCGGTGTGTACCTGGACGCCCACCCCCAGACACAAAGAACCACCAACGCACCGATGTCTGAGGGAGTCCGCCACTGGCAGGGGAAGTGGTGGTGGGGGGAGATAGGCCTCCAAACCTTGGAGGGCCTGAGATGTCCCCAGAGAGGTGGCGTCTGACACCCAACCTGACATATAGACACAGACATACAGGCACACACAGATACAAACATCCATTCCCACCCTCATGCTCTCATATGCACTTACTCCATGTCTTCATGTCCTTGACTTCCTGTTGGTTTTCAGATGCTGTGACTCCGGAAAGCGAGCTGGAGAACACCCATCAGGAGAACGCTGCAGCTCACGGTAACAAAGCGCGTCACAGACGCCGCGCCAGCTTCCTCCACACAGACGCCATAATAACACAGCTCAGAGACAGGACGACACTCGGTACTGCAGTACATGCAGTGCTGAGTGTGTTAGTGACCACAGGTGTATCAGCAGAGCGTCACACTCGTCGCTTCCTCATCTCTGAAATATTTGAATGTTGGAGTTTTTCTCCCTCTGCTGTTTAAACTCAGCTGTTGGTGTTTTAGACTCTGTGACAGAAACAGACGAAGGTTTACAAGCTTCAGTGCGTTTAGGTCAGTTAGGGTGAAGCCGTGATCAGACCACTGCAGACGCTGATGCTCGTGCCTGCAGCTCTGACCTCACCTGGTCAGTGTAAACAGGAAGTGTCACACCGAAGCTGTCTGACACTTCCTGTTTTTTCTTCTTCTCTGTTTTTTGCAGAGCACCGAGTGTTCACCAAACCCCCGCTGCTCTTCTGAGGCGGTCGCTGTGACAGAGGAGGAGAAAACGACTCCCATCAGCCAGCTGTCTGCTAATGGACAGAGCACAGAGGACACTGTGAAAGGGGCGGGGTTTCAGTGTGATGTCAATAGGTGAAATGTGACCTCACGAGGAAGCTCTGCCCCACGGGATCTGCTTCTGTGACTAATGTGAAAGTGGGTGTGAACTGTTACCCGAAGGGGGCGGAGTCACAGCTGGACGTGTTTGATGCTTAGAAAACTGCATTTGACGGTGACACAGGTGCGCTCCGGTCTTAACGAGCTTAACGAGGCGGCCGTCCCACAATGCTCTGATTTACTCGACTGTATTTTGTTTACTGTCGTTTGTTTTTGTTTTTTATTAGTAAAAAAACGAGAATGAATCAGTGACGAGTTGAGTTCAGAGCCAGGAACTCTGCTTTTATCTCACTGCAGGAAGCTTCTTCTCTTGGCTCTTGACGGAGGCCGTCGCACTTTCTCCTTCTCCCTCTCTCTTATCTTTCCTGTTTGGCTTCTCGTTTGTATAGTCTCGCTTATTCTCTAACGCTCAGAGAGTCTCCCAGACTTGTTCTCTGAAAACCTAAAGAAGAATAATTTGATCAGCTGGTCCCTTAATGAAACTCCTGGGCTTGGGAGAGACGTTTGCTGCCGGATACTCGATGGTCGGTTGCATCGTGTGTCTGGCAACAATCTACCAGTTCAGAACCACGATAACAGAGTTCAGGCTGATTGGAGCCGGCTCGGTTTATCGAAGAACAAGAAGCGGCTACAAAATCCCACAAGGCTGTCCGACATGATAGACGATGGGCAGGGCTGTGAGTAAGACTGTGTTTATTGAACGCAATATGGATACGATCGTGGAGAAGAACAACGGGAATTGAGAGATTTGGTGACCTGTGACGGACATCAGACCAACTAACACTAACCAAAACAGCTACCATCTCCATCTCATGCGCCAGCTGGATGCTCAAGGCAGCAGCTGACGGGAATAACAAAACTCTCCGTTAGATAACAAAACTGTGTTGTGACTCCCCCCCCCCCCCCCCCCATTCAAGTCCACTCGCATCGACTGAAGATTGTTGACTTTTGCCTAACCGGGCGAAAGGACACTTTCTCACACACACAAACACACACAAACACACACACACACATATGCATACTGACACAGACCTCCACTCACCCCCCACCCCCTCCAAATGCCTTCCAGGCTCATGTCTTTATGTTGGGAGATGTGCTGATTCGTGTGCTGAGGTGTTTTTCTGTTCTCTGTTGGAGCTCAGTCTGGGGGGAGTTCTTTTTCTCCTCGTCTTTCCTCATGTTGTGCATTTTCCAGTGTTATACCTCTGACCTGTCTTCCCCATGTGATGTTTGTCTAATGTATGTATGGTCGGAGGGTAAGATGGCGCTGGCAAAGGTCAGCAGCCTTAACCCAACAAATTTTCCGCGCGTGGGCTAATAAAGGTTATCTTATCAATTTTGGTCCTGCTGTGGCTGAAACACAGCCCGGTTCAGCACTGACAGGTTCGTGGGTCCAAATGATGCTCCACAGAGAGCTGATGATGATGAAGGTCAGAGGGAGGATGATGAAGGAACGCACTCAAACAGCTCGCTGACCTGTGAACCAGTAACATGGTTAAACTAACTCTTATAGTGACCTTTGACCCTTGATTACCTCAGCTGCTGAACATGACCCATGTTTCTTGTTTTCCTGTTACACACAAACCACGCTGCTTTTACAAACTCAGCATTTCCTGTTTGTTTCAAAGTAAAGGACTGCCATTCCAATTGAATAAAAGCCTTTAACCCTTTAAAGCCGGTCGGAGCGGGCACGCTCTGTTTTGCGCAACTATTTTTAAATCCTGGTAGCACTGCAACCACTAAGCTAGTGCAATAATTTGTTTTGCATATGAAAGAGGAGTTGTACTTACATCTTATGCCATCAGCTTGTCCTCGGTCACAGTTTCCTTCCACATATAGCTTTGCAAAAACTGCATAAAAAGCACTTGCAGCAACAAAAACATAATATTGCAGAAACACGCTTTGCCGTGACGTAATTTTGCGGAAATGTAGTTTTTTACCATCAGGGCCTCATGAGCCTATACTGGTGTTTTTAAAAGTTATGTTTGACTTTATGACTTTCTGTGTCGTTTCTGGGATGCTGAGGACTCATATTGCACTGCTGGAAATAGTTTATTTTGATGCAGATGCTGTTTTTTTGCAAATTTGCATTATGATATTTATATTTGTTTTTCCTGCAGTGTATAAAAATTGGTATATTTGAAAAATAAAACTATGGAGACACTTAAAATAAATTTCCTGTTGTTGTAAACCTTTTTTTGCAACTTTTTTGTATTTACAGTTTTGAGGGATAAGCCTCTTAAATTTCTCTAACTAGAAATATGTGTAAAAAAAACAAAAACGATTTTCAATTTTTTTGTAGTTTATTGCACTTTGTTGCAATTTATGTAATTACTATGCACTTAATGCAGACATATTATTAACATTTGGGCTATAATGGTTGTATTGATGTATATCAACTTGAAATGCTCCCAAAAATGGCTCCACGGCATGTAAAAATATAATATAAGCTCTGGCGGCCTTGGTTCTATGGTAGGTCTTAAAGGGTTAAACCTTGCAGAGCTTTTATTTTGAAACATCTTTATGTCACCTGTAGTTACCTGGTGATATAAAGATGATACCTGGATGATTACAGATCTTCCTTCACCTGAATCTACCTGTGACCTCTGGAGCCCATCCAGCAAAGAGCCGAGGTCCAACCCGCGTTCTCCTTCATCCCGATGGAAGCACGGCGCTCCTGTCGGGTCAGGGTCACACTACCATAACGCTTGAACAACTGGCACAGTTGAAACTTCCAACAGTTCCTGAACGCATCGGCTCTGTGCTTTTCACTGTTATTAGGGTCATTACGGTAACCAGGCAGGAAACACCTCCGAACCTTCAAATACAACAGAAACACCGTAAAAATCACAAATGTGTAATGAAAGGTGTTTCCTGTAGAGCCATCACACGCTCTGTTCTCCGTGCCAGCCTCATGCTGCTGCGACACCATCAGTGTTTATGCACGTGTGTGTAAAACAGTGTTATGTGTGCTGCGATGGTTTCGTCTGTACGTGTGGTTTGATGATGACCATCCAGATCTTTGCTAACCGGACCTCTTTAAGTCAGAGTTGAATGTCTCTGCTGTGAAGGTTAGACTGCACTAACGTCCCCGCGGTGAGTGGCTCTGGCACTTCCTTTGGAAACACATCTTTCAATTCAATTTTATTTACACAGCGCCAAATCACAACAACAGTCGCCTCAAGGTGCTTCATATTGTAAGGTAGACCCTACAATAATACATACAGAGAAAAACCCAGCAATCACTGGCCAGATTACTCTTAAAAAGTACATTTTTAATGTCAACAACCTTTTTTTGAACTGGATAAATAAAGGATAAAAGTCACTGCCAAAAACTGACTGCAGCTTCTCCTGTAACAGGAATGTTGCTGGTGGCTCAAAGTGACCTGATATCATTAATGAGGGAAACATTTGACATGTTTCACATATTATAGACCAACAAGTTATTCATAGCAGGTTAAATACGAGCAATCAGTGTAGGGCAGAAACCGGAAATCAGTTTTTGGCAGACGAATCTAATCTTTTGTTTTTACACAGCACTTTATCAAACTGTTGTCTGCTACAGAGTTACAAGTATTATACTAATAATATAGCATCCACCATCTCCTGCTTGCATATTTCTGAAAACATCTCAGTGGTGTGGCAGCCACGAGTGAGCCCTGCAAACCCTGTGGATGGACGATGCAGTGGACAGTGGGAGGATCCTAAAGCTCTTTGCAGACCACCCTGTGTGATTCTCCACTCACCAACCAGAAAAGACAAACCGCAGGTCTCAGTTGCTGCACCCCATCCACGTCTGATCTTCAGCAACACTGCCAGAGACTTCCTGTAATCTATTACAGTTGTAAAAGACTTCCTGTAATCTATTACAGTTGTTAAAGAAACGGTCCAGGATCAGGTCACTCAGGTTAATCCTGTGTGAACAACTGGAAATGTTGTTTTTCCATCTTTACTGTGTATTTGAAATATTCTTGTTTAATTGTTATTGTTATTTATTTATTGCTATCAAATAAATATCCATGTAATATTGTTCAAAGTTAGCGTCGTGTTCATACATGTTAAATATGCCTGTAAATCAAATTAAATTCAGTGACAATTACTGTTTGTTTGAATCAATTTATTAATAACATAAAACCTTTAAACTAATGCAACACATAACAATGTAACAAATATATTCAAATAAATAAATTTCTCAGTACGTAACTCATTTGGGAACTGATCTTTCTAGAAGTGAAACAGTCGGTCCATCCTCTCCCTGCTCTCCTCTCCTCTCCTCTCTTTGCTGCCTCATGTCCTCTCTGATGAGCTCCAGCAGCTCATCATCTCTTCTCCTCTTCCTTCCTGTCGTAGGTGGCTGAGCCGCTTCGTCATCGCTGTCGTTTTGGTCACACACTGCTGTTCTTGGCCCGGGAGTGTCCTCAGGGAGAGAGGACATTAGGACAGGAGGCTTAGTGGAAGGCATCTGTCCTATCACCTCATCCATGAGGGCAAACCAGGGCCAAGCACAGCAGTGGGCTTCCACTGACCCCTCTCCTGAGCCTGGATACTTGCAATCCTAAAGGCAGAGGAAATCAAAGATGACAGCAGGCAAATAAAAACACCACAACAACTCTTAGTAGTTGCATATTTATTAACTTGTGTTCTTAAGAATCATCTTCTTGATAACACACAGACGTACTTTGTATTCTTTAAAGTTATCTCATGTCTTCTGGCCTGCAAGCGGGTGACTTTCCCCTGCAGGCCCATCTTCTCCAGAATTGTCCTGATCACACACAACACATAAGAGAAGAGAGGAAACCATGGCAACCATGTTAATCCCTAAACCCAGCAGAACACCAGAGGAACGCCGTGTGGACATCACAGGTTCTGCACAGCAGCGGTCCGTGAGTCGTTTGGTACCGGGCCACGAGAGTTGAGGCTCCGCTGTGAAATTTATGGTTTTCAGGGTTTGTATCGTTCCCTGGGTCTTTCCCTTGTTGTAGTTGTGTCTTATTTTGAAAGAAATATTTACACGTTACCATAGCGACCGGGGCGCATTAAGGGGCAGAGAGGAGGATGTTACTCTCAACGTTGGCGCATTTTCAGGAGGAAGCTGCTAATGAAGTTACACAATGACACAGTTAATTCAAGTTTATTATTATATTTACCAAATACCCGTTTTTTCCTGGTCGTATCATTTATTTTGTTGTATTTACCCACAACACCTTAAAGGCCGCTCCCTGTCTGACATTAAAAAGGTTGGGGACCGCTGCTGTGCAGCATGAGGGTTAATAAAACCGCACTCATATGAATAAACTGTAAACTGATTCATTCTTGTACCTCCACGCCACAGGGGCCCAATCCTGCACCCAGTGAAGAGGTGATCGTTTTCTCCTCATTTTAATAAAATGACTGTTTGGTCTTTGTTCCTCACAACATGTCACCATAAAGATTAATTTAAAAAATCAAAATTAGCTGTATGTAAGCAGCAATACATGAAAAACCGTGGGACCTACCATACAAGCTGGTTTAGGCTTATTAAATTAAAAAAAAAACATGTCTGTGTGTAACAGGTGTATTAAAAAATAATTCATATTTCATCCTGCAGTGTTATTTTGCTTTGTCAGTATCGATTATGTATATGTGCTTATTTATATATGTTTATTTTCTGAATTTATATTTTGGGAGCTTTTATTTTGTTTGTGTGACCTTTGACTTCCCATGAAGTCACTTCCTGTGTGCTATTTTCCTCAGTTGCCTAGAGGCCCCGCTGAGGAGAGTTATGCAGAGTCCAGTGAAGTGAAGTCGCTGTACTGTTTTTATTTTAAACAGTTCTGGGAGAATAAATCTGCCCAGCTGGCAAAGTGAGAGCTGACTCCTCGGGTCACTCGCACAACGCAGAGAACTCACAGCAATCAGAGTTTAAGGCCAGACCGGCTACACGTGCAGATGCCCGAAGCTTAACAACACGACCGCTATAACAATTTAACTTTTGTACCACCAGATGTTCACATACTTACATTTGAAAGTGTTTTCCTCTCCCGCTCCGACCACCATCGTTATCAGAAAGTCTCCTGTACGGCCCGCAATGAATCCTGGTAGGACACGAAGGACACATCGGACCCATCCTTCAAATTTGGGGAAAAGTAGGATGCATTTGTCGCCACATTTTGAGCGCTCTTTGAATTCGGACAGCCTTCGTCACTTCACTGTGACATCATTTCCTCCAAACACGTCCTCGGGAGGATCCTTCCCCTGAATTCGGACACAGCTAAAGAGATGATCTGACATCGCCGTGTTGGTGTTGATCCTGGAACAACATTTACTATGTTGATCTGTAGTGATGGGCAGATGAAGCTTCATGAAGCACTGAAGCTTTTCATCCAATTGGTTCACCCCAGCGCAAAGCTTCTCGAAGCTTCATTTGCTCTAGTAGGACACCTACTGGACGTAAAAATATTAGTTGGCATGAATTTGAAGAGTGTGGCCTTTTGCACACAGCCTGTAAATGTCAACAACAAAAGGAGTGTGTAAAACATGTATATTGTAGTGATGGCAGTATACTGTGTATATTTATAGTGGCAGTATGGAAAATGATTATTTGGAAATGCTTAAAATGAAAATGATCATTTACTGTGAGGTGAGGTGTGGTTGGGGTGTGGACAGTGGTTGTGCTTTTGTAACGTTGAGGTATGGACAGCTACACACTGAGGCCTCAGTCCTGCCTGTTCACATTTCATTCTCTAAAAACTAAATTTTCACTGCTTTTATGACCTTTTCAGTGGGGAGAACATAGCTAGGATTTAATGATTTAACAAATCTTTAGTAACATCACTGCATGCTATATTATCATTGCATTTGATGGCTCACCTGGTCTTGCTCCACAATCGGTGTTCCTCTTATTCTCATGCAAAGCTCTGTAGTGCCTAAGCATGGATGAGGTGTTGTTGTTATATCCCAGCTCCCTGGCACATAGCAAACACTTCACCTTGTACAAAAGTACAGACAGCTTAACATAAATTGTATTGCACCATCAGTATCATGAAAATACATCTTCTGTAGAAATGTACATACTTTGTTGGGAGGAATAAGATCAAAATGTTCCCACACAGGGGAGGACATCCTCCTCTTCTTAGCTGGCTCCATTCTCTCCTGACTTTCTCTCCTCACTCTCATAAACCTCCAAACTGTCTCCAAACTCTCACTAACCGCAACTCTCCATCAAACACCCACATTTTGAATGAAGTCTGAGGGGTTTATATCGCTGTCATAGCTCGCAGCAAAGTTCGAACCGCTTCATGAACCAGTTACGTGGTACAGCCGGGCAGCGAGGCTTCGGACGTCATCATTTTCAGCTCCTCCCATAAATGAAACAAGCCTCGATACGCGCATCGCGGAAACGCCCCCTCCATTACTCGACACAAGCTTCGAAGCCTCGATACAGAACGTCCCATCACTATTGATCTGGGAACAACACCAACATGACGATATCAGATCGTGCGCTAAAGACATGCTGTGGAAGAGAACCAGCGATCTGGAGACAGATCTTCATCATCACTCTGAGGACAGTCGTCTGTGAGAGTGCTGAGCTTCAGCTGAGCTTCAGGATCAGAGACCTGAGAGAGCATGATGTAAACATACGAGCCACCCCTCCCGATCTTTCTGGGAGAATCCCAAACTTCAGTGCCCCTCCTGAAATTCTCCCGGAGCCACCATTCACCCAAATTTCCCCTGATTGTCCATCCAGACAACAAAAATGAAAAACCATATCCCAGAATTCATAGCGCAGCCCAGCCAATTCCAGTCAGTGTTGCCAACTTAGCGACTTTGTCGCTATATTTAGCGCGTTTTCAGACCCCTTAGCGACTTTTTTTTTATAAAAAGCAACTAGCGATAAATCTGGCGGCTTTTTCTGGTGTTATTGGAGACTTATTTATGACGACTTTTTGACGTGAAAGGGCGTGTCACTCTTACTCTCAGCAAGCAGCGGTGCTGCCGTGGGCACCTCACCTGTGCTAAAGCGCTCACGGGCGGAGGATAGTCCTCCCCAGCTGCTATCAGGGCAGGAGACGTTCACACCTGTGCGTCCGAACTGCAAATGAATCGCGCATGAGTGAAGCCGCTGCTCCGCACTGACTGTAACGCAGTCAGTTCTTCTTTTACTGTTGTGCTGTTTTGTGGATCACAAGGTTTAAAACTACTTATAAACACACACACAAAGTAACTCCACCAGAGCGCCTATTTCAGGTACTTTTGCCGGTCCAAGCCCGGGTAAAGGAGCAGGGTTGGAACTGTGACATTAAAAAACAATAATTGCTAAAAGAATAGAATAGCCTTTATTGTCATTGTACAGAGTACAACGAAATTGGAGTGCCACTCCCTTGGTGCAAGATTCAATAATAAATATAAATGTAAAATATAAAAAGTACAAAAAAAACAATGGTAAGTACTCAAACAATAGTAAGTACAATATATACAGGATAGCAGCATTAATATAATGACAGTATGAATAGCAGCATAATATAATGACAGTGACGGTATGGAATAGGTTCAATTGTTTTTGTGCTTATTTACTACGGTGATAGCTCTGGGAAAGAAGCTATCCCTGAATCTGTTTGTCCTGGTTTTATGTGACCTGTACCGTCGGCCTGACGGTAATAGTTCAAACAGTTGGTTGCTGGGGTGAGAGTGGTCCTTGATGATATTGCCAGCTCTGCTGAGGTACCGAGAGTTTGCAGTGACCTCCAGGCTGGGCAGAGAGCAGCCAGTGATCTTCTGGGCTGTGTTGATGACCCTCTGCAGTACTTTCCTGTCTGCAGCTGAGCACCCTGCATACCATGTTGTTATGCCGTACGTTAGGATGCTCTCTATGGTGGCTCTGTAAAATGTCACCAGCAGCCTCTCCTCCAGGTTGTTCCTCCTGAGCACTCTCAGAAAGTGGAGACGCTGCTGGGCCTTTTTTACCACCGCTGTAGTATTTGCAGTCCAGGAGAGGTCATCAGATATCTGCACGCCCAGAAACCTCATGGAGTGTACCCTCTCCACACAGCTCCCGTGAATGTAAAGTGGGGCCGGGTCTGCTCTGCCCTTCCTGAAGTCCAAGATAAGTTCTTTAGTTTTCGTGGTGTTCAGTTGGAGGTTGTTAACTGAACACCACTCAGTCAGTCTGTTGACCTCATCTCTGTAGTCCGACTCATCCCCCCTTGAGATGAGTCCAACCACTGTGGTGTCATCCGCGAACTTTATGATGGTGTTTGAGAGATGGGTAGGGGAGCAGTCGGATGTGTAGAGCGTAAACAGGAGGGGACTCAAAACACATCCTTGTGGAGACCCGGTGCTGAGTGTGATGGTGCTGGACCGGTGGGGGCCGAGTCTGACAGACTGTGGTCTATTTGTCAGGAAGTCCTTGATCCAGAGGCGGATGGGGTGGAGAGTCCCAGGTGAGACAGTTTCTGGACCAGGATCTCCGGGATGATATGATTGAATGCTGAGCTGAAGTCCAGAAAGAGCATTCTCACATAGCTTCCTCGGTGCTCCAGGTGACTCAGCGCAGTGTGGAGCGCTATGGTGATAGCGTCCTCGGTGGAACGATTTGTCCTGTAGGCAAATTGGTGGGGGTCCAGAGTGGGAGGCAGACCGGCCCTGATGTGCTGACAGACCAGTCTCTCAAAGCACTTCATCACTACAGACGTAAGTGCAACAGTCCTGTAGTCATTTGGGCTGACCACAGCTGACTTCTTGGCGATGGGGATGATGGTGGAGGTTTTGAGGCAGGGTGGGACGGTGTTTGATGACAAGGAAAGGTTGAAGCTTTTAGTGAAGACTCTGGTCAGTTCGTCAGCACATGCTCTGAGAACCTTTTCATGTATTCCATCAGGACCTGCCGCCTTCCTGGGATTCACTGACCTTAGAACACACCTCACTTGGTGCTCCCTGAGTGTTAGTGTGCCAGTGTTATAGTAGTGTTAGTGCTGGGGGTGGGTGGAGGTGGTGTGGCAGCTGAGGGCTTGGTCGACTCAAAGCGGGCGAAGAAACGGTTTAGATCCTCAGCCAGTGAGGCATCAGTCCTAGATGTTGCCTGGTTATTGCTTCTGTAGTTGGTAATGTGATTGATCCCCTGCCACATTTTTCTGGGGTCGTTGTCAGCAAAGTGATCTTCAATCCTCCTCCTATAGGCAGCCTTAGCTTTCCTGATGCCTCCACTCAGGTCTGCCCTGGAAATTAAAGAAAGAATTAAAGAATTAAAGAAATTTAATTTGTAGTTCTAAATAAACTCTAAATGCATTTAGGACGTTTTTTACTCACTTTATGTCTCTTCCACGATGTTATTTCTCTCTCCAACAGCGTAGGTTACAATTACATTAGCATGACCAATTATGCAAATTAGGTGATGACGTCATTTAGCGACTTCTAGCGACTTTTAGGACAACCAATAGCGATTGTCCTTACTGAGGAGTTGGCAACACTGATTCCAGTTCCCAACAATGGCTACTACTACTGCAGCTACTTAGCTTTAATATTACTCTTATTACTCCTTCTGGGTCGAAAATAAGCTTTTAACATATTTTCAGGCGAGAATGTAACTGTGTGAACTTCAAATACCTGAGCCGGTGAGAACTGCGGACTCCCGGCACATCGTTTTCAAACCCCGCGATCTTAAACATGATATATAATGTAATTGTTGGGCTTTTTTCAGTGTTTTGTTTGTTCGTGAGTAAATCGTTTGGCTGAGATTAAAGTTACTAGATTAAATTAAACTTTATTAATCCCGCGGGTGGTTTTCACACAGCTGAATAAACGTCAAACAGAAAACTGATTAAACAGAAGTGATTTGGTCGAGCGTTTACGCGTCCGGTTATATTTAGATAGCAGGGAGCAGAGGAGAGAGTGGTGACGTAGCTCTGAGGGCTAGACCGTCACAGTCGCTCACTTCCAGCCTACCCGGCTTTCGGAGGACCCGGCCCACTTAGACCACGAAGGTGGGTGCAGCCCGTTTGGACAGCCCCGGCTGGGGGACAGTAATCACGGTCACATTTAACTTACTTTAAATAGATCATTTTAAACAAATAAACACTGTAAAATTGTGTGTGTGTGTGTGATGGTGGCATGAATTGTGTCATGACATTAACCTGCTGTGATTTGACCCATTTCCACTCGCTAACAGACACACACCTTGTTCCCACAGCGACAAAGTGAAATAAATGAGGACAGTGGGTCAGCTCACTGACACACACACACACCTGCACATAGAGGGCCTGCACTGTGTGAATCACTGTGACTCAGAGCCTGAGCTGCAAACGTGTTTCCTGAGTGGGTCCTTTGAGACTCGTCTGTTTACAGTAAACCTCCTGAAGCAGTTAAAGGAACACGCTCGTCCTGATTGGCCGATCAGACGGCAGCTCAGAGGGCGAGGGCTTAACGAGCAGCTGATTGATCGTTAAATTAAAGCTGAATCAAAGTTTGAGATAAACTTGAAATAAAGTCTGAAGTTCTCAGAATAAATCAGGTCATAAAAAAGTTCAATTAAACACAAAGTTCCTCTTTGATGTCCACACAACCATTTCCTGTCAGAGCTGCGGGTGGGCGGAGCTGCTAGGCCTCATTAGCACATTAGCACCTGGAGAAGCACGCACATCCATATTCATGAGTCCAGGAGTCCATCACACTCTCAGGGTAATTAGCTGCTCTCGTTAGCCTCTCTGATGCTAATCTGGGGACGAACTCGTCCAAACAAACAACAACAAAGAGTTTGATCTCTTAACGAGCTGCTGCGCATAACGAGCTTAACGAGTCCTGTAAAGATGAGGAACGCTTAATGAGATCAACAAAGAAACAAGCTGCTATCACACACAGCTCAGAGCAGGTCTGACGACTAGTGGTGGGCGGATCGATCCAAATATCGATAGTATCGATCCCAAGTCGGGATCGGATCGATACTAGCCTGGTTAGATCGATTCTTTACTTTGAGTTCTGCTTCTTTGCTGTGCTTTCGGCAAAAACGAAACAGCCAGGCTGGACTCGCCGCTCCTGTGTGCAGGAACACTTTGCTCCCCCCTCTTATGTTTCGTGTGTTGCGCTGACACGTCACGTGACTTAGACACTTTGGGGGTTATTAAGTTGTTTACATATTAATTATATATTTTGTTTTTGTTGTTGAGAATTTTAATTGTAATTTGTGTGTTATAGTTCATCAACAGTATTTGTTTTAATTTGTTTACTGGTTTGCGGCAGACCCGACGGCATTTTCATGCTTCGCCGCATCATTTATTCTTAAAATAATCACACGGTTGCTGTAACAGTACATTCAACGGCTGCAGCTCTCCCGCTGGCAGCCGCACACATCACCACCACCAAACCTGCAGCGGCATCGCAGAACACGCCCTGCCACATACCCCCATCGCCCGCTTCACCCCACCCGCGAGCTGGCGAGGGAATCGGCCCGGACCATCGGCGCCCCCATGCGACAGGGAAGTGTCCACTCTGGCGGTCGCCCGCACCTCCAGCGGAAGCCCGGGAGCTGGCCTGATGGCCACCCATATGGCAAGCAGCGGCGGTGCAGCAGGAGTGGAAGTGAGCCGGGGCTCAGAGGCAGCTGGGCAGACGGCCGGCACGCAGGCTGCATGGTCCTGCGTGCCGCCTTCAGGCGTGGCAGGACGCCCACGCACCTCGACCTCCGTCTCCAGCTTTGCAGGGCCCGCTGACACGCCAGCCTCCGGCTCACCCCGAGCCGCGCGCTGTCCACCCTTACAGTGATCACCCGGTTGCTGTAACAGTAGCCTACATTCAACGGCTGCAGCCCTCCTGCTGCCAACTGTACACATCACCACCAAAAACAACAACAGCACAAGCAGCGCACAGGTTTTAAGCCGGCGAGGCATGATTGTAGATGCAGTGAAGGTGAGTCCATCTCATCTGCAGCAGCATCGCAGTACACGGCCGCCAGAATAATAAAGCATTTTTTATTTAATTATAAATAAATTATTTCTCCTAATTATGTCCTGGGTTTTAAGTAATTAATAATACAAAAGGAAAAATCACAAAAAACACTTAAGGTCATGAAAATTAATTGCGATCTAGCAATTCAATGAGGCATCCACCCTATTTATTGAAAAGTATCGGTATCGGCGATACTGGCCCGTATTTACTTGGTATCGGATCGATACCAAAATATGCAGTATGGCACACCACTACTGACGACCTCGCTAACCAGTTCCTGTGGATCTGTGATGTGACCTCTGACACTCAGCAGATGTGCGCGTAAACGTCTGCTGCTCGTCCAGACTCGAGTACTCGCTGTCCAACATCTACCACAGCCAATCAGTGTTTGTGATGTCATCATTCCAGTTTACTTACTTTAAATGAAAATTAGATTAGCTTCTTAGATTAGCACGTCTAGCGTTAGCACATTTTGTGAGTCTGCCAGCTGTGAGCTCAGAGGACAGATGTGATTTCTATCCTCTGATTGGCTAAAAACAGGTGAAGCTAAAACAGTGATGAGTAACAATAACCCGACGACACAGCTTTAAGGACTGTAAGCTTTCTGTGTGACGGCCAGCAGGGGGCGACGCCACTGAGCTTCGTCACTGTAAATATTGTTCATCCATAAGAGCTGACTGGTTAAGAGGTTGTGACTGATGAGTTGGTAGCCAATGCGAGAGCAGAGTGAAGTTTACTCTGAGCGGCCATCTTTGTCACTCATGTGGGCGTCTATTTTATTCTATTTTACTTTAGGCCAGATCTCGAATATCGTAATCTTCCCGTTCACAGACATCCGTGATACAAACTCAGGTTGTGAGGTCACGACGTCACACGTGTTAAAAATGATACTAATCAGTCTGTTCCTGGCCCCGCCCACTGCAGCTCCATGGATACAGCTGATCAGCACACATCCTCCTGATTGGCGGTCTTTATAGAGAAACCGCAATCACAGCAGATGTTTGGATGTTTTTATTCTCACAAAACAAACTGATCAATAAGAACAGCTAATCAATAACAATACACACTTATCGGGGTCAGTGACCTCTGACCTCACAGCATCTCTGTACATTTACATGTTTCTAAACTAACATGAAGCCGATCGATACACGATCGATTTAGCTGCTGGGTCTGCGGGGCGTCTTCAGTATTTTGGTCTCTTCACGTCGACCCTGAAAAAAATAAGTCTTCCATCATTTATGATGTCATACATAAGGTCACTGCTGCCTGATTGGCTGACAAAGTGATAAACGAGGAGCTGAGAACAAACAGGAAGTAGTTACCCGTCAGCCTCCATCTTCTTCCTCTTCTCGATGATCTGAAACAAAAACAGCTGCTTCAGCGTCGTGTTTGATTGGTTTACAGCGTGTGTGTGTGTCTGTGTTCACTCTGCCTGTGTGTGTGTGTCTGTCTCACACGATCTGATATCGTCGTGTTGGTGTTGTTCCAGGATCAACATTGCAAGTGACCAATCAGAATGTTGTGACGTCATACTTTTGGGACTTCGGGAAAAGCCGCTGTGAAACAAAAAACTGTACTTAAGCTGCGAGAAACCGCCTCTGTCCGCCGATCAACGGACCCTGACCCTTTAATAAACGCTGAGCAGAACTGATATTGTCCTTGCAACATTGGAATTTCATAAATGCACGAATGTCTCGGCGTGCCAAAGAATAACGTCACAACAATGTGATTGGTCACTTGCAATGTTGAACCTGGAACAACACCAACACGAGGATATCAGATCATCCATCTCTCTCACCGCGCTGATCTTCTTCCACTGGCGGTCGAGCTCTGCCTTCTCATTGGTCTCTTTGAAACGTCGTGTCTTCCTGCCTTCAGACATCTTGATGCCGTACTGGAAGGCAGCCCTGTAGACACACACACACACACAGAGTGAATACACACACACAGACACACACACAGGCTGCCTGTCAGTCAGAGCGGAGGGACACAGTAGCACGCACTTGGGCAGCGCCTCCTTGTTGTTCATGTAATCCGAGTACTCCTCCTGAGTGTCGAAGTCCCAGCGGCCCAGAGGACCCTTCTTATTGCCCTGGAACACACACAGAAAAGCATCATGTTGCTGTGTGAGGATGAGCTGCAGTGCATGCTGGGAGTCAGAGTTACCTGGTCCATCTTACTGTAGTCCACCTCTTCATCACTGTCCACGGCCAGGTCGTCCATCCTACACACACAGATGTAGTCACACACACCTGAAGGTTAACGCACCGTGTGTCTGTGCGTGTCTGTGCGTGCGTCTGTGTGCGTGTCTGTGTGTGTGTGTCTTACGTAGCAGGGTAACACTCTGCGTATGAGTTTGATCCTCCAAAAAAATCTCCCAGCTGCTCCTTACTGGAGTCTCTCCTCTGAGAGCCAGTACACACCAGCTAAGGACAAGTACTGCAGTAACACCACACACACACACACACACGCAGTACTGGTGTCGGTACCCTGTATCACTGTACCACATACATACATGTATCTATATTGTGTATTTTCTTGTGTGTAGTACTACAGTTGTTCAGTACGCTCACGCGTTACCACTCCCGCTCAGGCCGTACTACTCCCGCTCACGCGTTACTACTCCCGCTCAGGCCGTACTACTCCCGCTCACGCGTTACTACTCCCGCTCACGCGTTACTACTCCCGCTCAGGCCGTACTACTCCCGCTCAGGCCGTACTACTCCCGCTCACGCGTTACTACTCCCGCTCACGCCGTACTACTCCCGCTCACGCGTTACTACTCCCGCTCAGGCCGTACTACTCCCGCTCAGGCCGTACTACTCCCGCTCACGCGTTACTACTCCCGCTCACGCGTTACTACTCCCGCTCACGCGTTACTACTCCCGCTCACGCGTTACTACTCCCGCTCACGCGTTACTACTCCCGCTCACGCGTTACTACTCCCGCTCAGGCCGTACAACTCCCGCTCACGCGTTACTACTCCCGCTCACGCCGTACTACTCCCGCTCACGCCTTACTACTCCCGCTCACGCGTTACTACTCCCGCTCAGGCCGTACTACTCCCGCTCACGCGTTACTACTCCCGCTCAGGCCGTACTACTCCCGCTCACGCCTTACTACTCCCGCTCACGCGTTACTACTCCCGCTCACGCGTTACTACTCCCGCTCACGCGTTACTACTCCCGCTCACGCGTTACTACTCCCGCTCACGCGTTACTACTCCCGCTCACCGTACACTCCCGCTCACGCGTTACTACTCCCCCCCGTACTACTCCCGCTCACGCGTTACTACTCCCGCTCACGCGTTACTACTCCCGCTCACGCGTTACTACTCCCGCTCACGCGTTACTACTCCCGCTCACGCGTTACTACTCCCGCTCACGCGTTACTACTCCCGCTCACGCGTTACTACTCCCGCTCACGCGTTACTACTCCCGCTCCATCCCAGCAGCTGTGACATCACCGGAACACCTGAACCCCATACAGGTGAGCGAGAACATCACCTGTAACACAACATGAGCACAGACTTTACCTGCGCACAGGTAAACCAGCTCAGACAGAAGCTGGTGTGGTACAGTAAGCCCCACCCACTCATACAACAGTCCAATCAAAAACAAGGATATGGCTCCTGGCTCTGCCATTGGCTGCCCGCTGCTCCTGCAAACTTCTCATTGATCATCTTGATCTGGTCTCTGACTGATCCTGGACCTGCCACAGACGCAGCATCCATCAGTTATCGATCAGCTGTCATTGGTCAGATCGTGTGAGTCACAGTGAGGAGCTTACCTGTGTCCACCTCCATCACCTGCAGAGACACACACACAGTTAGAACCACACGGGTAAACCAGGCACAAACAAACCCCACCCCCCAACATCACCTGGTGCTCGTCGCCTCGCGGTTTCTCAAAGTAGGCGTGTCTGCGGCTCTTGGTGTCGTCGTCACGGTCACGCTCCCGGTCTCTGTCCCGGTGACGCTCTTTCTCTTTGGTGGGTTTGGTGGACGGTATATAGTCCCCGATGTCCTCAAAGATACTGAAACACACACACACATTATAAACACACACACACACACAATAAACACACACACTCGTGATGAGGCGATGTGGGGTGAACTGACCTGAGATCAGCCTCTGGAGCTCTCTTATCGTCCAGTTTACCTGAAACACAAACAGGTGAGTGCTTGACTAAGAAAAATGGTCTGTATTTATATATTTATATATATTACTCGTCCCTATGGACCCCAAAGCGCTTCACACATCCAGTCATCCACCCATTCACACACTGGTGATGGCAGCTACATTGTAGCCACCCTGGGGCGCACTGACAGAGGCGAGGCTGCCGGACACTGGCGCCACCAGGCCCTCTGGCACACCTGCAGAGCGTCAGGAGAACATCCAGCAGCTGTGCAGACTCACCTTTGTCCTTCTTCTTGATCTTCTTGTGGCGGGTTCCCTGCCTGAGGTAGGACAGGATCTGAGTCAGCTTGGAGATCACGATGTCATTGGTGGTCAGGGTGGTCTGAGCCTGAGAGACAGAACGTGAGAGAACGTGAGGGAACGATCTCAGGGCTCTGCGATATTGAAATCATTCAGCTGGAGAACTCGGATGTTTTGGCGTGGCGATGACGCGGCGAGGACTCGGCCTCACCTCCATGCTGGGACAGTCCGCCTTGCTGCGGATCAGCGTGGTGGGGATGTCGGTGTCGGTGAACTCGTCGTCCAGGTCGACCACGTACGCCATCCTGCCGGGCAGGAAGAGCTCGTTCCTCTCGGTCACGCCGGACCTGAACACCACGCGGTAGATGTTCCTGCCTGAGCGAACACGGAGACACCGGGAACGCCGGGTTCAATGTTCACGTTCATATGATTTCTCCACCAAAATATTCACGTTGTTCTAAAAAGATTCCGTTTGATCCGGAGACGATCCTCCTCTATTCCTGAACGCTCCAGACTCACAACAGTCACACCTCCCCTCCCTCACCTCCTCCTCCCTCACCTCCTCCTCCCACATCCACACCTTCCTCCAGAAAACATGACTCACCCAGACGAGTCTTAAACTCCATCTTCTCCTCGGGCTCCACGTCCTTCCTGACAGACAGGGGAGGGGTCAAAGGTCACACGGAGACAGGCAAGAGATCAAAGGTCATATAGAGATAGATTAGGGGTCAAAGGTCACAGATGGGTACGGGGGTCAAAGGTCACATAGACAAGTAAAAAAGAGGGGGTCAAAGGTCACACAGACTGATAGGTGCGGGAGTCAAAGGTCACACAGAGACAGGCAAGGGATCAAAGGTCACAGGGACAGACAGATTAGAGGTCAAAGGTCACACAGAGATAGATTAGAGGTCAAAGGTCACACAGATGGGTGAGGGGGTCAAAGGTCACACAGATGGGTGAGGGGGTCAAAGGCCACACAGAAAGATGAGGGTCAAAGGTCACACAGACAGACAGGTGAGGGGTCAAAGGTCACAGAGGCAGGTGAGGTTCTGATCACAGGGCTGCAGCTCTGCTCCATGGTTCCTTACTTGGCTTCTTTCTGGACCTTCTCCATCATGTCTTCTTCTTCCTTCTCCTTGCTGGTGATCTCAGCTCTCACCTGTAACACACACACAGGTAAACAGCTGAGCAGGTAACACACCCGCACAGGTTATCCCGACGACCGCGACCTCTGACCTTCTGCAGCAGGGCGAAGTCCAGACCTTTCACCAAATGAGTGTGCTCCATGTCACCTCCCAAGAACTTGGACTCCTGGATCAACTGACGCCGCTTCTCTGCTGCCGACTTATCGCTGACATGCACACACAGACACACGCACACACAGACAGACACACACAGACAGACACACAGACACACACACACAGACAGACACACACACACACAGACAGACACACACACACAGACAGACACACACAGACAGACACACACACACAGACACAGACACACACACACACAGACACACGCACACACACGCACACACAGACAGACACACACACACAGACACACACAGACACGCACACACAGACACACACACACAGACACGCACACACAGACACGCACACACAGACAGACACACACACAGACACACACACAGACAGACACACACAGACAGACACACACACACACACAGACACACACACACACACGCACACACAGACAGACACACACACACACACAGACAGACACACACACACAGACACACGCACACACACGCACACACAGACAGACACACACACAGACACACACACAGACACACACACACAGACACACACACACAGACAGACACACACAGACACACGCACACATAGACACACACACACACGGGTGAATGATGAGAGTTTAGTTAGAATGATAATGACCCGTTCCTCTCGGCGCGGCCATGTTGGGGTCATCGATGGCTGGTACTCACGCCTCGGCGGTCGGCCCGACAGCTCGGTAGTTTGCCGTAGTGCTGATGAGTTCTGTCTCCTCGTAGTCCTTGTTGACGCCATCTCGCCGCTCTCTCGCTCGGTCTCGGTACTTCTCGGCGAGCTCGCGCTCACGCTCCATCTCCTGCTGACGCAGCTTCGCATAGTAACTGCAACCAAACCACAGCTGATCAATAATCAATAACATGCATTTGAGGGTCAGAGCGGCGCCGTCTGAGACCCTGAGTGCTGTGGACTGCTGTATGTGTCGACATATTTAACGCTCTCGTGCACATCACAGGTGAAAACGTCTGTCCAGGCTTTTTATTATTAATAATAAAAACTGTTAAATGTCGTGAACATTCATTCCTTTCCTTCCAGAATATTCCCGTGTTTCCACAATCCCGTCATAATCCCGGCTAATGTTAACAGTCCTGTGATGCGCCCAGCTGCCATCTTTCACTCAGCGAGCTATCAGCTCTGTGGAGGCCAGGTGACCTTTGACCTGCAGTTTTCTGATGTAACAAACGTCCAATCGGCACCCACCTCTTCTTCTTTCTCCTCCTCGCTGCGGGGTCCTCATCCTCGTTGTAGTCCCTCGGCATTCTGGGAAATTAAAAACACAGACGTGTCAGCTGTGCTGCGAGTAAACACCCGTCTGCTCTCTCCGTGACATCACTCACTCATGATGTCTGGACTTGGAGGGCGGGGCCGAGGAGGGCGTTGCCCGCGGCGTCATCAGCAGCTTCCTGAAGTCATCATTGGTCAGTTTGGACCTGAGGACAGATGGAAACACACACATTAAAACAAAGAAATACACAGTAACACAGCAGTAGCAGCGAGGAGTGTGTATCAGTGTGTGTGTGACTCACTGAGCTGCAGCTCGGTGGTCGTCCATGTCGTGGCCCTCAGGAGCCAGAGGGTTGGAGTACGTCTCAGCTGAAAGACAGGCAGATGTTAGAGCACAGGCAGATGTTAGAGCACAGGCAGATGTTAGAGCACAGGCAGATGTTAGAGCACAGGCAGATGTTAGAGCACAGGCAGATGTTAGAGCACAGGCAGATGTTAGAGCACAGGCAGATGTTAGAGCACAGGCAGACAGCAGGGCCGCCTCGTTTAAAAGGACACAGCTGGGAGCTGCTCTGCTCTTTATATGTTCCCTGTTTTACACTGAAACAAATAACTGCAGATTTCATGGAAACTATTTGATTTCGACGTAAACCGGCTTGGCCCATGTGTAGAGGGACTCCTTCCCCGTGCTACAGTTTTACTAACAACCTCTCAACAGACGGAGCAAGGCCGCTTTAAAGCGGCAGAAGTGTGAGCGGAGTCTGGTGTGGCGCAGTGAGAGGAGAAGCTTGGCTAATAGCTGCTGTCAGAGGCTTTTTCTGTTCAACTGTTCGGTCCAGTTCAGCACTCATGCTCCCAAAGCCGTGTTTATTTCAATAATGTATCGAATAATTGCTGTTTTTATTGCATGTTTTTAAGTAAACAAACAGCTAACGGCTAACAGCCCGTAAAATGACTGTTAGCATGCTAACATGCGGAGCTAACGCTTACTTTCAGGCATCTCTGCGGGCAGCTGCTTCTCCTGCGGTCTGAATCTGGCACGGTCCGGTCACAGGGACAAACTAAGGCTCGGTGTTCGGGTTTCTCTGAGCTGCTGCGGGTCTCTTTGCTCCAGCCAAGCTCCGAGTTAGCTGTGAGGAGAGCTACCGTGCTGTGACGTCACGTCCGTTTTAGTTAGAGAAGAGACACAGCACCTCCTGCAGGAGGAGAGGAGACACCGCAGGACAGACAGCGGCGTCAATGAACACCGCGAGATAAAAAACACAACAAAATTGTACAAATCCGGTTAAAATGAGTTGAAAATAGGAAATAAAAAAAAAAAAAAAGTTATAATAAAATACAGGCCAAATACTGTCTGTGTTTAAAGATCATTTTCATGTAGTTTAAATAAGGAGTTCTTTGATTTGATGGAGGAAAGGTTTGTTCTGCGTCACTGAGGTTTTTATTCACAGCTCAACTTTGTTCCTCACACACTGAAACACCCGCAGCTCTCCTGCCCGGTCACGTGTTGTTTCTCTGGCTCACAGCGCCCCCCGCAGGTCAGCGGAGCCACAGCTGAAGGTTCTCCAGGACCAGCTGGTGCTCGCTGCTGCGCCACCTTCAGGACTCACACAGCTTCACTCAGAGCTCCTTCAACAAACTCCAAACTCCAGATAACCAGCAAAGTGTTTGTTTCACTGAGCCTGAACCATCTAAACCAGTCAGACCTAAACAAACCCTCTAATTCCAGTAAAACCACATAAACCTGCCAAGAGGCAATGAACTGCCCTCCAAGGTGCTCAGGAACTTTTACTCGTGCACCATAGAGAGCATCCTGACGGGAAACATCTTAACCTGGTTCGGGAACAGCACCATGCAGGACAGACGAGCTCTACAGAGGGTTGTGCGGTCAGCTGAGCGCACCATCCGCTCCGAGCTCCCTGACCTGCACTCAATCTACAGCAGGCGGTGCTGGACCAAGGCCAGGAAGATCGTGAAGGACCTCAGCCATCCCAACAACAGACTGTTCTCTCTGTTGAGGTCAGGAAAGCGATTCCGCTCCCTGAAGACCAACACAGAGAGACTGAGGAGGAGCTTCTTCCCACAGGTGATACGGTCTCTCAATCACACCACCACACAGTACTGACCCACACATATGGTTCTTACACACACACTGGACTTTCTGGACTTTGTTTCACTTCATTACTTAAATCACGCTGCTGTTATTGTGTATATGCTGCTGTTATTGTGTATATATTTATTTAGATTTCTTCATACATTCTTATATAGTTCTATATTGTGTATTTTGTTGTACAGTTATTTTATTTTCAACTTTAATTTATATATTTTATCTTATTCTTCCCAGTTAAATTTACCCTTCATTCTAATTTGTGTTGTACAGTTATTTCATTTTTAACCTTAATTTATATTTTATTCCTTCCTAGTTAAATTTACCCTTTTTAATTTTTCATATTTATTTCCTATCTTATTCATAGCCTTTTCCTTTTTTGTTTTCTTTAGGTCACGAGCAGTTGTCCAAGCATTTCACTACATATCGTACTGTGTATGACTGTGTACGTGACAAATAAAATTTGAATTTGAAACTGAGTCTGTTCCTATTAAGAAACCTTAAAACCAGTTAAACTACGTGATCCTCCTAAAATATCAGTGAACTTCCTGTACATTTATACACTCAGAGTAAAAATATCTGAAATCCAGTTAAATGCTCCCAGGAAACTCGTTTTAAAGAGCAAATTAAACTTCTTATTGCTAATTTCAACATAAACAGCCTGTGAAATAATCTGACTTTAACTCGGGAAAAACTTTGGATGTGTCAATGAACTCCCAGTAAACCCACAGAAGCCCTGCTGATGGACCCAGTGACCTCACAGTAAACAGAGACCTTCACATGTTCACTTTATTCACATCAGCACATTTACAGAAACAAAAACAGGTCAGTGAATGGACTGAACCACTGCGGGCTCAGACGGGGGTCAGGGCTTGGACTGAGCCAGAGTCTGCAGAGCTTTGGCCACCTGATCAGCTGACATGTTCTCCACGGAGACGCTCGTCTCTTTCCCAAAATCTGAACAGAGACAGGGATCAATAACAGGTCAATACACAGGTGACGCATCTGAGTGTCCCGTGATGCGGAGCGTGAGGGGGCTCACCGTATCGGGCCCAGAGCCGGGCCTGGACTCCAGAACACTCCCGGATCAGGATGGGGAATTCCGGGTTGGACCTCTTCAGGGTCACGTAGTTCTGCTCCACAAACTCTCTGAAACACAGGGGGGAGGGGGGAAGGTCAGCTGACCTGTGACCTGACAGCAGGAGCCTCACCTGTCTGAGTTTCACCTGAACAACTGTTTATTAATCCCACATGAAGTGATGATGTCACAGAGACATAAACAGTGACAGCATAGATGACACTAATCAACGTACGCCGAGGCGTCCGCTCATCAGACGGCGTCCTCTGCAGGACGTTCAGTCAGAGGGACCCTGAACCTGCAGGTGAACTACAACAAAATGAAAAATAAAGCATGGCCGCTGTTTATTCATCTGCTCATCATTATTCTGTTACTAATGAACGGATTGATCCATAAATCAATACTCTGTCACGTGTCAGTGTTTTCCTCACATGACCAGATTACCAACAGTCTGCGTGCTCTTATTTTGAAGGGTCAGTCCCTGCTAATGGGCAGCGAGGAGCTGAAGGAGCTCCTTAATCTGACCTCCAGCTCCTCGTCTCCTCCATAACCTGACTCCTGCTGCAGGTCAGCTCTCTCTCCTCAGCTAATCACAGCGTGACGATGATGAAATCTCCTTCACCTTCATCTGTCTGTGGTCCCGTGGGTTCACACGGGTCACAGCCGTGAGTCATACTGTGATCATGGATCCCGAGTGGCCGGCTCAGGTGTGTGTGTGTCACTGCGCAGACTCAGAGGTCTCCACCATGAACAAACATCTGGAACATAAACTACATAAGACTCACAGCTGAACATCTGCAGGAGCCAGGGCTTCTGTCCAGATGTGAGTCAAACCTCTGCCTCCGTGTGTTTCCTTTAGCAGCGTTGTTGTTTACTGAGCTGCTGCTCTCATCTCTCTTTATGAGTCTTCACGTGCTCAGACACATTTATCCTGACAGCACTCACAGGGGTCAAACCTGCAAACCTCTCACTGTAAACCCGAGTCCGCGACGCTGTTAGCCGCTAGCTGTTAGCCGCTAGCTGTCCTTCGCTAATGACCGCTCTGTAAAACCATCACCGGCTCTTCTCGCCTCAGCAGCCCGGCTCTGAGCTCACCTGGCCCCCTTACTGGCCGCGGAGGTCTGGCAGAGATGCAGGCGGATCTCTCGGAGGTTTTTACCCAAAGTGGAGCCCAGACTCCTCACCACGGCGGCCGCCATCTTAGCTTCCTGTCAAGGACGGAGTGTGTTACTGCAGCCCCGAGTTTATCCTGACAGGAGCAACGTTCAACCCCGAGTTTATCCTGACAGGAGCAACATCCAGCCCCGAGTTTATCCTGACAGGAGCAACGTTCAACCCCGAGTTTATCCTGAGAGGAGCAACATTCAACCCTGAGTTTATCCTGACAGGAGCAACATTCAACCCTGAATTTATCCTGACAGGAGCAACATCCAGCCCCGAGTTTATCCTGACAGGAGCAACATTCAACCCCGAGTTTATCCTGACAGGATCAACAATCAACCCTGAGTTTATCCTGACAGGAGCAACATTCAACCCTGAGTTTATCCTGACAGGAGCAACGTTCAACCCCGAGTTTATCCTGACAGGAGCAACATTCAACCCCGAGTTTATCCTGAAAGGAGCAACATTCAACCCTGAGTTTATCCTGAAAGGAGCAACATTCAACCCTGAGTTTATCCTGACAGGAGCAACATCCAACCCCGAGTTTATCCTGACAGGAGCAACATTCAACCCTGAGTTTATCCTGACAGGAGCAACATCCAACCCCGAGTTTATCCTGACAGGAGCAACATTCAACCCTGAGTTTATCCTGACAGGAGCAACATTCAACCCTGAGTTTATCCTGACAGGAGCAACATCCAACCCCGAGTTTATCCTGAAAGGAGCAACATTCAACCCTGAGTTTATCCTCACAGGAGCAACATCCAACCCCGAGTTTATCCTGAAAGGAGCAACATTCAACCCTGAGTTTATCCTGACAGGAGCAACATCCAACCCCGAGTTTATCCTGAAAGGAGCAACATTCAACCCTGAGTTTATCCTGACAGGAGCAACATTCAACCCAGAGTTTATCCTGACAGGAGCAACGTTCAACCCCGAGTTTATCCTGACAGGAGCAACATCCAACCCCGAGTTTATCCTGACAGGAGCAACATTCAACCCTGAGTTTATCCTGACAGGAGCAACATTCAACCCAGAGTTTATCCTGACAGGAGCAACGTTCAACCCTGAGTTTATCCTGACAGGAGCAACATCCAACCCTGAGTTTATCCTGACAGGAGCAACATCCAGCCCCGAGTTTATCCTGACAGGAGCAACATCCAACCCCGAGTTTATCCTGACAGGAGCAACATTCAACCCTGAGTTTATCCTGACAGGCAGACACTGTTTTGAGTGGTTTCTCTGGTCGTTTATTACAAACAGTTAGCTCTTAAATAAATTCACAAAGTATCTCAAATCATATGTCAAATAACTCAATTATGTTTCACAAGATTTTACTATTTTAATGATCCATAATGGTGAAAAACACCTTTAAGCACAGATATATTTTACTTTAAATGAACCTGAACTGCTGTTTCACTGCAGATTAAAGACTGACGACTGATGTCCACACATCAGTCAGCAGGTGTGTGATGTTGCTCTGGCCAGCAGGGGGGCGTTCCCCAGACCCCCTGTGAAGGACTCTGATCATCAATCAGTTATCAGTTACAAAGAGATCAGTTAGTAACATCAGCCGTGACATCAGCCGTCTCCCAGAGATGAAGAGGAGAGTCTGCTCCTCCACACTGAGATGACTGTGTCTGACGGAGGATCGGATCAGGACAGGGTGGAGTTCCTGTCTGTGGTTGGGGATGCTCTGGTGGAGGTCTTCTCTCTGCAGAGCTGCCCAGTCTCAGCAGTCTGGGAACCACAGATTCATGTTGGGGATAAACTGGTGAACAGTGGACGGACACGTGACTGCTCTGGTTATGAACGTGACTGGTTCCAGAGTGATTTTTACATTCTGGTAGAAAGAGGAGGGATGTGAACATCTAACTTACTTTTTCTTTTCTGATCTGATAATTCATTTTTTCTGTTTCTGTGTTTCTTTTGTTATATTTGGGTTTGTGGGCTGTTTGTGTCTGACCATCTGTTCCCAGGCTGATGTTCTTCATCGTCCTGAAATGACTCACGCTGCTCTGAGAACACATTTACTCACAGTTTAGTCTCGGTGGACCCGCGAGCGGGTTTTTATGTTTTGATTGTTTTCTGGAGGAGACGGAGGGACAAACACAGAAAGTCGAACCATGTGTGACGTGTTTTCAAAGCAGTCAGCTTTTTCCACTGAGCGCTCCCAAACACGAAGCAATTCATCTGATCTGGATTCAGTTTGATGTCCCACAGACTGCAGCTGGAGGAGAGTTTACCGGCAGAAAAATATCTGCGACAGCCTGAAGACACGAGACACAAACAGAGATCTGATGCTGATCGTATCCAGCATGAAGTCGCACGCGTCCTACAGGACGATTAGCTTTAACCAGCACCGACATCACCAACAGCATCTCAAACACTGAACAGAACGGTTAGACTCCTGCACACAAAGTCATCTATGGTGCACCTCTGTGAAGGCCCCGTCAATGCTGAACCATATCTGCAGGTGCAGGAGCAACATCTGCTTCCATCCCCAAACAGCACTCCAGCAGCACGGCTCCAGACTGACCTGAGAACAGGCCACACCTTCACTGCAAGCATCTGCAGCCTCATGAAACCAAAATACAACAAAACAGATGCTGAGATCAACACCAAGGAAACATCAGGTTTCAGCTCAGAGGGGACAGCATGAGACGCTGTTTATCAAAATCAATAACACTGATCAGTTTGTTCCTGTGCTCTCGGTTTCTATTAAAGGATTCACTGCTTTTATTTTCATGGTAAAAACAGGGCTGGATTTTATTTTGACTTCACAAACAGAAATCATCAGTCGGGTTTCAGAGAAGACAAAAGCACAAAATGTTCCTGACACCAGAAAGCGTGAACGTGATCCAGATGTTCATGATTCAGAGGCACAGCAGCAGCTGGATGAGACTTTATTCAGAAACAGGATTATTGGTACAAACATCATGATGGTGAAACAGACCCGGGGCCTTCTGAGGATCGCGTCCACGCTCGCGCCTCTCGTGGACGAAGGCCACTCCGAGCACAGGTGGAGGTTATTTCAGTCTGTTTCTCATTAGCGTTAGCAGGAAGTGCGACGTCGCACGTGTCGGGACGAGCAAATGGCCAGGGGAAATCTGCGCTCAGTGCATCCTGTCAGTCCGGCTCGCTCTGATGCGGCTTTGCCGCCGCAGAAGGTCCTGCCGTCGTTTCTCGTTCAGGAGCTGCTGGATGCGTTTGTTATGCGTTCGCTCGTGGACCTGAGGCATCCGCGGCACAAAGTAATTCTGCTGTCCTCGGCTAACGTCGCTGTCAAGTCCGACGATCTGGTACTGGACCTCGTCCACCGAGTTGTTCTCTTTCTTTGATAGCGAGAAGAAGGACGATGAAGGTAGCGCCGGTTCAGCTTCGGTCAGGTTGACTTGACTTTGGAGGCTCCGCCCTCCTGAGGATGTGGTGTTGTCACCAGGATCAGGCGATGATGTGGTGGAGAACTCTGGGATGGCAGAAGTCCAAACCAGCGCCGGCGTTTGGTCTTCAGTGTCAACAGTCTCCATGGTAACAGCAGCAGGGGGCATTGTGGGAGAATTCTTCCTGAACACATGTGTTGGAGCAGTTTGTGTGGTAATAGTATTACTGTCAGTGGTGGTTGGAGTACCCGGAAGCTCATTCAGGCCGGAGGAATCCTCGTAGGAAGAGTACTCGCTGTACTCATCATAATCCACGTAGACAAAGTCACCGGTGCTCCGTCTGGTTGGGGGTGGAGTTACAGTGAAGCTGCGCGTCAGGGTGGTGGTGATGATGTCACGAAAGACATCACTGATGGCACGGCTGCTGTCGGACCAGGTGGAGGTGAGCGCTGACGTCATGATCTCTGTGGTCAACCTCCAAGAACTAAAAAGACAAAAACAGAGTTCAGGTCTATGGCCCCGCCCTAAACCCGCCCCTGCTTCCTGCTTTAAATGAACACTTCAGTGTAAAGCCAATCAGCAGTTTCACGGTCAGCACACTCCTGCTCTACACTTTTATTTTCAGCTTTGTCGATGTATCACGCGTTTGTCTGACTGCAGGTTTTGCTCTGTTTGAGACTGGGACTCAGTTATATCTTTCTAAGACTCCTTTTGTTACCCGTCATGTCTGACCTGCTGTTCTCCGTCGGTGTGATGGTGCCACTGAAGTTGCTGGAGATTCTGGATTTCGTGGCATTGTTGAAGTTATCCTCACTACAGGACTTGCAGCACATCTGGCGGTATCCGATGATAGAGCAGTACCGACTCAGCACCTCCATTCGACAGAACGCCGAGCGGTCGCCGCGGCACGGCTGCCCTACAGACAGAACAGTAGGACGGTGTGAATCCTGACACGTAAGACCTCAGCTACAAGTTTTACTTCAGTGGTTTGATGGGTTAGTGTGATCCTCAGAGATGTGTTAAGACACAGCAGAAAGACACGAAGCAGAAACTGTGATAGGCTATAAACAGTAAAATAGCAAACAGGAGAAATGTAAACAAAAATAAGAGAAGGGGACTGAAAGTGCGAAAGAGCTTTGAAGTGGTGCAAAGAAAGGACTTGGACTGAACTGAATCTGTGAGTGTCCTGAGTGATGAGGGTTACTCATGGCTCACAATGGTGGGTGTGGGCAGGTAGTGTTTGTTAACAGTCTGACTGGTCCAGGTGAAGAAGCTGGTTGGGGCGATCGTGGCTCAAGAGTTGGGAGTTCGCCTTGTAATCGGAAGGTTGCCGGTTCGAGCCCCGGCTTGGACAGTCTCGGTCGTTGTGTCCTTGGGCGAGACACTTCACCCGTTGCCTACTGGTGGTGGTCAGAGGGCCCGGTGGTGCCAGTGTCCGGCAGCCTCGCCTCTGTCAGTGCGCCCCAGGGTGGCTGTGGCTATAATGTAGCTGCCATCACCAGTGTGTGAATGTGTGTGTGAATGGGTGGATGACTGGATGTGTAAAGCGCTTTGGGACTAGTAAAGCTAGACAGATACAGGCCATTTACCAGGCCATTTGAGTCTGGAGGTGTGCGACCTGACTGACCTGAGACACCAACCAGAGCATTGATTCTCAGCAAACAACAGGACAGAAACCCTCAGACTCAGACCACAATGTTCAGGAAGCAAGAGAAGAAGACGAGGACGTAAAGACAGACGGCAGACAGAGCAGGAGTCAGAGCGCTTTACTTGAAGAGATCTTTGGAGCCGGGAAGCTGGGGTTGGACCTGGACAGCCACTGAATGATGGCATTCTTCTGGTCACCTGCAGGGAGAGCAGCAGCACTGTAATTCCCAGCATCCATCCTTTTCCTCATTGTAACAAATGTACGGTACATGACTGGTCAGTGCCTACCACCGCAGGGCGGAGCCAGGCAGGTGCGTGTCGTGATTGGCCGAGGCTCGCTGCAGTTTCCAGCTGAACTCTCGGGATTGGAGCACGCGACCTGACGCTCCTGAGTCCCGTTCCCACACGAGACCGAACACTGCGTACACAGAGGGATCGATCAGACTGATCAGGTATTGATCTGTGGACATGTGCAACTCCTGATAAACGGATCTTCATACCGGAGTCCAGGGCCCGGCTCTCCACACAGCGGGGCAGGGGAAGCGGTTACAGGGTTGTTTAGTCTCTGGTCGGTCATCGCCGCAGAGCCTGCTATGCACAGAGCGCCGCTGCTGCCCCCTGGGGGAGTTCTGCAGGCAGCTCACCCAGCGACGCTGCCACCCAGTCTGACCGCAGGAGGAGCTGCAGTCCTCCCAGTCTCCGGTCACCCAGCTGAGGGGAAGACATGCATCAAAAGAAGAAAAATGACTGGGTGACTGTGGGTGTGTCACGTGACCTGTAGCATGTTACCGTGCCGGGCTGCAGGCCTCGGCGTTACAGCTGCGGCTGATGGCTCTCGGTTTGCTGATATTGGAGCAGAACATCCTCTGAACCATTTTCCCATCAGCCTTCCTCCTGCAGCCGAACCTGGTGTACTGTTTTCCTGAAAACAAGGAAACATGACAGTCAGTGGTGGTCCTAGGCGAACTCCCCCCCCCCACACACACATGCATAAAACATATTAAAGATTGTACATTGACATAAAACTGATGTCAATGATACGGTTAGCGCCCAGTTAGCTCCTAGCATTTCTCAACAGCTCTGCCTCCTTTTCGACTACCGGGACATTTAAACAATGGATAATCCGTATACAAAGAAATTCATGCTTTTCTCCTCAACAGAGAGCGTCCCCCGATTGAGCAACAGCGCCATAAAATAAGAAGAATGGCGCCGAATTACAGAGTTAATAATGCAGACTTTGTAATATCTCACGTGTAGATTCATCAGCCAGATTAAGTGTTTACTGACAACTGACAGTGATAGTGCACATCATCATCACTATTCCAATCAATCCTCTTCACAGACGAGCATAAACACACTCGACTGTCGCTAAATCAGATTTAACACACGTTTGTAATGACGCTAATTCAGTTTACAATAGGGTTCATTTGCTCAGTCAGCAGGTGGCGGTATCCTCGTACACTGGGGAGTAAACTGCCATTAAACGAACAGAAGAAGAAGAAAACCCTGCACATGCGCGGTACGGATCGGGGAGTCCTGATCCGTATCTATCTTTTTATTTTTCGTTTTTGTCTACATTATATTGAAATGTTTCATTATTTAAGAGATACTTGTTATTCTTAACATCTTAACAGATACTCTGACCTGTAACTATCGTAAAACGCTTCGACCGGAAGTAGACACCTTTGGCACATGCGGAGTACGGATCAGGTTTCCGGTACGGATCGGGTAGTGACAGGGCCTGTGACATTCCCAGTATGTGCTGGCTGATGTCGGGGCAGCATGAGTACGAGCAATTTATTTATTTTTTGCCGATGCCCGTGATGCCGCCTCCCACCAAGATGCCGCCCCGAGCAACCGACCATGTCGCCCGTATCAAAAACCGCTACTGATGACAGTTAACTGAAGTACGCCACAGCTATTAGCTGTTAGCTGTAAGCTATTAGCTGTTAGCTGAGCTGTGTACCTCAGAGACAAGAGAGCCGATTCATGACACTGAGATATCTTAGGCTTGGCTCATACTGGCAGGAAGGCCTGGACCTACATCAGCAGTTGGTCCAGTTGAGAAGCCCATGTAGTTAAAACAATGGGAGGCACACACATTTCACCTCTGACGACAGACTCAGACCTTTGACCTATAAAGGGGAATGCTGGGAAATCACACGGAGTACCGTTTTTTCTGGTGTAGTCAGGAAGTCTGTAAAGCGTAACAGATATCTAGACTTCTTGGCTGTTAGTAAAATAAATCTTGTTCTTTGCTCACAGATTATAGATATGTAGAAACATGTTTATAGAGGAATACGCCTCAGTGAGCAGGAAAGAACTGAGCTCAAGGCCTAAAATCATTATTTATCCCTCTTTCTGCAAAAAAGTCCATGTATTCCCAAATTAAGACGACATAATAAGGCAGAACAGAAGAGCTGGGCTGACTCAGAGAAGGTGTAGAAGATGGATGATGGAGTATCGAGGAGTTGAAGTTCTAATGTTTGGAGATTCTCAGGTACCTCCTCCACAGGGTTTGGAGCAGTGCGACCACTTCTTCAGGGCCCACTCGTAGAAGATGGCGTCCTCCTGCACCAAGTTGGACTCCAGCGAGGACCGCAGGCGATCCTGGATGATGTACTTATAGGACACCGTCACCTTTGAGTCGCCATGAGAACGGACCTGACGGACAGGAGACAGCGGGGTGTTGGTAGTTCTGGTTTGTGTTAGACACACCGTGGACACTCTTGGCTTCACACACTGATGGACTTACCATGAGCACGACTCCATACTTCAGCGGCCCGGTGGTCTGGATAGACTCCTCCTCTTCCTCTTCAGTGTTCCTGTACTCCCAGGCCACGCCCTTTTCAATCACCACTCTGGATTCTGGGAGCTCGTGTTCGTCATTGAGGAAGAGATGACCTGTGTCCTGGTTCTTCATGGCTGTAGCAGGAAACAGAAAGACAGGGTGTTTCAAGAAGACCAAGGAAAAATAGGAAATCCTTATGCGTGTTCTTGATTCTTACCCAGGATGTGAGGAGTCCCCTTGAACTCCTGGATCAGCAGGTGTCGAGCTCCTTTGGGGATCTCCAGGATCTTCAGGTAACCTGGAAACAATAATCATCCAATAATGAACCGTCCAATAAAGGATCAGGATTCATGCAGCAGGAAACATCAGGAGGGTGTGAACAAACATCTGAACCACCAGCCTGGTCCAGATAAACTTTCAACCTACCTGCAGTTCCTCTGGTGTCCAGCAGAGGCAGCAGTGAGTCAGTCCTCATAGACTCCCATGTTAAAATAAACATGTTTACAGCCGGATACACGGACTGTTCTGTTCTACACGGATAACTTAAACCTGTTTATAGCTCACCTGTTTAAATTATTTTAAGGCTTAAAGTCTGCATTATTGTGGGCGTGGCCTCTTTGACTGACAGGTGGATGGTGACACAGATGGCTGCAGCTGCTAGTTGTCTGTAAGATTGACCTGAACCGGACCTCTGGACCAGCCTCTGGGCTGTTGGAGCCCTTTGGAGCATTTTTAATGACATCATGTGACCAATAACGTGGCTGCTGTGACGTCACTGTACTAACAGAAGCTGAGCTGCAGGTTTGAGTGAATTTAAGCTTAAAACCAGAACTCAGTCTCAGCTCGGTTCACCTTGTTTCTTGGTGCTGCGGGTGAAGTTTCCTTTGACGATCTTACAGCTGGAGTTATCTCCTCCACACACTCCACATCGGTCCTCCTGCTTGTCTGAAGCAATCTGACCATCGCAGCCAACGTGCTGCAGGAGACGAGGAGAAGAGGAGAGGAGACGAGGAGAAGAGGAGAAGAGGAGAGGAGGAGAGGAGATGAGGAGATGAGGAGAAGAGGAGTTGAGGAGAGGAGGAATGAGTCAGGACCACATTAAATAAAAGTTCACTGAAACAGTAAAACGTGACACAGTTCTTCAGTCAGAGGTCAACACACAGAAACTGAGACACAATAAAGACCTCACACTCTCCTCGGACGCAGACACTGTAGACGTCGTCATAGGAACATGGCGTCCCATCATGCACCATTCTTTTCATTGACACTGCGGCCGCCGTCTCCTTCGACTGACAGTACAGACGGCAGCGCTCGTCAGCTGTGACACACAAACGAGTCAGTGCAGGAGCTTCACATCATTCTGGAAACATCTGCTGACATCTGCTAACGTCTGCTCGACACTAAAGAGTTAAAGGGGGAGAGTTTTCCTCCAGCAGCAGATTCCTCACTGATGACTTTTACATGTGCGCACGCACACAAACACACACACGTTTCTATGTCTCTGTGAGGACCCTCAGTTACATAATGTATTTCCGAGACTATAAATCTGAAGCTGGAAACCTCGTCTGAATCTCCAAACAGGCCTTTAAAGGTTTGTCCTGAAGCGTCCTCACAGAGCACAAATCTGTCCACCAACGTCCTCTGAAGCAGAAACGTCCTCACTGTAGTGCAGCGGTCCCCAACCCCCGGGCCTCGGACCGGTACCGGTCCGTGAGTCATTTGGTACCGAGAGTTGAGGCTCAGGTGTGAAATGTTTGGTTTTCAGGGGTTTTATCGGTTTTCAGCGTTATTTTGTTATCGTTTTTATCGGTCTGTTCACGTGTGTTATGAATAAATCTTCTTTTTTTTGGTACCGGTACTAGGGCATAAACCGGCCCGTGGCGCAAAAAAGGTTGGAGACCGCTGCTGTAGTGGAGAGAGAAACCGTCCTGCTGCTCTATGTGGACAGGAGCCAGAAGACCTGCATGTGTGTGTGTCTTTCTCTCTCTCTGTGTGTGTGTGTGTGTGTGTGTGTGTGTGTGTGTGTGTCTTTCTCTCTCTGTGTGTGTGTGTGTGTGTGTGTGTGTGTGTGTGTGTGTGTGTCTTTCTCTCTCTGTGTGTGTGTGTGTGTGTGTGTGTGTGTGTGTGTCTTTCTCTCTGCGTGTGTGTGTGTGTGTGTGTGTGTGTGTCTTTCTCTCTGTGTGTGTGTGTGTGTGTGTGCGCGCGCGCTCACGGTCAGGGTGTTGGTACGGCAGCCAGTGGTGTTTCCGCCCCTCGTGTTCAAAAACAGGGTTCCAGACTTTGCACTGATCCTCCCTGAAACACAATCAGAACATCACAGCTGCTCACTTGACCTCTGTGAGGAAGGGGGAGGGGCCGGGCAGGTAACAGCACTCACCTGAAGTCTGTCAGTGGGGGGCAGTTCTCTTGGCTGCACAGCTGGAACTCGTAGGTGTTTCCGAAGCAGGTGCGCCCCCCGTTGGCCGGACTGAGAACAGCGACGGGTTAGTCTTACTGATTGGCGCACCTGACGTGTGACACCACATAACTGACAGCTCACTCACATTGGGTTGTCACAATGTCGGGTCCGAAACCTGACCCCGCCCCCACATGTCCGGGAGCAGCTGCCATATGGACTCCACGACCCCCAGCCGCCATCTTGTCTCAGAAGGTTAGGGGTCAGCTTCATGCAGTAACCTCTGAAACAATGCTGCAACAGGAAGTTAGCGTTAGCGTAAAGACAGGAAGTACAGGAAACCAAACCAGCCATACTTGTTCAGTTTGTCTCTACCTGCCCTGTCATGAACTTTGACCTCTAACTGAGGCCCGTCTTTGATGGAGCCGTTTGGTTTTTTGCTTGGTGTGACTTACTGGGACGTGCACTCCTGAGAACACCTGTGAATAATGTTTCTCACTGCAGAATGAAGGAAATGATCTTATTCAGGTTCCCAGGCTGATGGGAGGCAGCAGTTGCTTCTCTGAGATCACTGGGGATGTTTTTCCTCTTTAGCATTGTGCTAACAGACACCTGAACACTGCAGACCTGCAAACTGCCCAAACTTGCATGATCAGGTGTGTTTGAACTGCAACACCTGGCTGCTACTTACCTTTTCATGTCCTATAGAAGCAGTAAGACTCAGCCTAAATCTGTCCTCACCTTCCCCGGCCCACACTTGGTCCCGTCGAGGGGCGGACCTTTCTTGGTCTTACAGTAGAACGGGTTGTTGTAGTCGCTGCACCACAGCTGTTTGCAGGGGTCAATGTTCGTGTACTGCAGACACATGATGAGAAGGTCATTGGTTGCTGATGTCACAGGAAGCATGAACGTCATCACTGCTTCAGCCTTCAGAAACACTTCTGTCTGTTCCACATCAGAACACATTTAATCTTATTTCCTGAACATCAGGTCACATGACCATCTGGGAATCCATTGGCTATCAGCTACTCTGAGGATGAGCGCCAGTATCTCAGAGACTTCCTGTTCTCATCAGCAGACACTGTTTATGAAAGCAGACAGTTTAAAAAAAGATGAAAGCACGATAAGCATTTCACTGCATATCGTACTGTGTATGACTGTGTACGTGACAAATAAAATTTGAATTTGATTTTGAATTTAAAAGTGAATAAAGTAAACTTGTGGTCAGACAATGGCGGTTTGTCTGGGGTACTTCCTGTTTATCGCCTGCACCCAAAGCCCCACAAGCACCACAGAACCAGACATCTCATGTGTGGAGGTTATTACCGTGATAAAGAGAGGAAACGGACACATTCTCAGGCAGCGCGTGATGACGAGGGAAAGATAAAACCTCGTGTTGGCACCCTGCTAAGATTTCTCAGAACAGGAAACGTGGCGAACACGGCGGCGTGAAGAAACAACCAGCAGGTAAACATCAGCTCGGGGAAGCCTTCAATGAAGCAGCACTGTAAAGTTTTCTATGAGATGTCCAGATGTGAGCTGAGGCCAGCAGCAACATCTGCTGAGGATGTTAGCTAGGAGGTGACGTTACCGTGGAAACCGCTCTGGAGAGTGTTTAAAAGAAGCCGTCAGACGGATCAGCTGAGCTGAAGACTCGAGGTTTCCATCAGGACGCTGCAGTGAAGCAGCTTCCTTCAGTTCAGCTCTGATTGTTTTCCTGCTGGATCACATTTCCTCTCAGGATTTAAAACAGATTTTCCACCAGCCTCCAGCCCCTGTTTCCTCTGGCTGCTCCAGTTTGTTTTCCTCACAGAACACAAATGTTTACATCACTTCATCAAAGCCGGCTTCAGTTTCTCTTTTGGCTCGTGGGGAGCAAACTCTTTCATTAACGACTGTTAAACTGTTTTCTCTGCACTTACACTGACAACTTTGTTTTTTCTGCTTAAAAAACAACTTTCTGATAAGGAGACATCGTGTCAGTGCAACAACAGCCATCAATCATCTCCTGAGGTCTGATGTTCAGCTGGAAACCTTGGGTCCAGGCTTTCATCTGTAAGTACCACCCAGCTAAACACTGCTGCAAACCCAACAGTAACTGCTGATGGCAGCAGCCTCGGCCAGCAGAACAGTGGGACCCAGCATCAGCTCCAGTACAAACCCCGCCTTCCACCACGCTGATGCTCATGGTAAAAAATAAAAACAGTCGCTTATGAAACCTGCTGAAGCGTGGGCTGGTTCTCAGATGGGACCGAGGTAGAACATGTCCCACAACATGTGGAAAACGTGAAAGAGTGCAGATCCCAGCCGGATCGAGCACTGTATCAGAACAAGTCCGTTCCTCACGACCAAAACCCCCCAAACCCCCACAGCCACGGCTCAGAGCTGATTTAAAGAGACCTGCACAATATCAGGGAGACGTTTTTAGTGTTGGACCTGACTGTCACACTGTTCAATCAAAATTAAGTTAAAACCTAAATGAAAGTTATTGGAAAGATTAAGTATTTTCCTGTACCTGGTGTTTATGTGAGTTTTATATTGTTTCTCTCTTTTCTCTGAAATGTTTTCACATAATTTTATAAAGTTAATGCAAATATTTAGTACAGACAGATGGACGTACTGCGGTACAGAGACTGTATCCTGGTCCAAAGTCGAAGCGGCACTGTTGGTCCATGGAGTACTGGAAGCCCGGCAGCTGAGGCTGAGCCGGCCAGTTGTGGTTGAACGGGTCGTCACGCAGACAGTCGTACGTGCTGCAGGCACACAAACCGAGCTCAGTGCATCAGGTTAAGACTTTAGTATTTCTGCTTTGTACATCAGCAACACTGAGTAGACGTTGTAGTATTATTCACAGTACTCACTGCAGGTACTTGTGCAGCTCCCTCCAGCTGCACCTCGACCAGTGGTAACGGTGGAAGGTGGCCTGAACCTGCGGAGACATGATGCTGCCCAAAGGCACGTCGTCACCGCAGTCATTCGCCTCGCCGTCATGTTGCATACCCAATCTGCATGGACGGAGAGAGACAGAGACTGAAGACAAACAGCAGGACGCTCACTGCAGTCAGTAACTACTGAATGTTGCACAAAGGCGTCCACACAGACGCCTGAGCACTGCGTGTGTTTCTGAAAACACACGCAGTGAACACGGAAACTGTCTCTGGTTCGTGCATCACGTTTGTGTGTCATGGTCGTGCATGTCCGTGCGTCACGTTCGTGCATGTTCGTGCATGTTCGTGCGTCACGTTCGTGCGTCACGTTCGTGCATGTTCGTGCATGTTCGTGCATGTCCATGCGTCACGTTCGTGCATGTCCGTGCGTCACGTTCGTGCATGTTCGTGCATGTCCGTGCGTCACGTTCGTGCATGTTCGTGCATGTCCATGCGTCACGTTCGTGCATGTCCGTGCGTCACGTTCGTGCATGTTCGTGCATGTTCGTGCGTCACGTTCGTGCGTCACGTTTGTGTGTCATGGTCGTGCATGTCCATGTGTCACGTTCGTGCATGTTCGTGCGTCACGTTCGTGCATGTTCGTGCATGTTCGTGCGTCACGTTCGTGCATGTTCGTGCATCACGTTTGTGTGTCATGGTCGTGCATGTCCATGCGTCACGTTCGTGCGTCACGTTTGTGTGTCATGTTCGTGCGTCACGTTCGTGCGTCATGTTTGTGTCATGTCCGTGCGTCACGTTCGTGCGTCACGTTTGTGTGTCATGGTCGTGCATGTTTGTGCGTCACGTTCGTGCGTCACGTTCGTGTGTGTCACGTTCGTGCGTCACGTTTGTGTGTCACGTTTGTGTGTCATGGTCGTGTGTCACATCCGTGCGTCACGTTCGTGCGTCACGTTCATGCGTCACGTTCGTGCGTCATGTTTGTGCGTCACGGTCGTGCGTCAAGTTCGTGCGTCACGTTCGTGCGTCACGTTTGTGCGTCACTTTTGTGTGTCACGTTCGTGCGTCACGTTTGTGCGTCACGTTTGTGCGTCATGGTCGTGCGTCACGGTCGTGCGTCAAGTTCGTGCGTCACGTTCGTGCGTCACGTTTGTGCGTCACGTTTGTGTGTCATGGTCGTGCGTCACGTTCGTGCGTCACGTTTGTGTGTCATGGTCGTGCGTCACGTTCGTGCGTCACGTTTGTGCGTCACGTTCGTGCGTCACGGTCATGTGTCACGTTCGTGCGTCATGTTCGTGCGTCACGTTTGTGCGTCATGTTTATCCTTAATGTTTGTGTGTCTCACAGATGTCCTGTTTCGTGTGCAGCTACAAAGGCCGAAGAAAATCCGTCCTCCAAGACGAGAACACAGCTTCGATGCAGCTGGCATATGCCCGTAACTGGAGCGTAACCTGCAGACACACATGACAGGGTCAGAGGTCAAGGGTCATTTGCCATCTGGTACCATTGTTAATTCTACACCTGGTAATCAGTGTGGTCGGTTTTTGTAGTATCCTGCTTCAGACTTCAGTGGCCTGGATAACTGAGCACCTACACGGACATTGTGGTAGTAGTACTTCTAGCAGTATCAGTGGTAGTGGGGTATTACCCTGCATGCCGGTGGGGCCGAACTCCTGCCTGGTCAGGTAGATGGTGTGGTCGTGCTGCTCAGCGAGACTCTGCTCTCTGTGCTGGAGATACGACCATCCACATACGTTTTCCAAACTCTTCTGAGGATTCCCCACAGAGATCAGCTCCTGGGACTGATGAAACAGGACGGTGCTTGTTATTATTCCCACACATGCACCTCCTAACAGACAGGTAACCTCTCAAAGCCTGAGGGAAGAACACTGAACCGATTCAGCTGCTCAGACTGCCTCAGGCCTGAATTTAAAAGACCCACAAAATAGCACTTAATTATGATTTCTGCCCTGAAGACATCTTAAAACACGTTTTTCCTGAACAACTGGAACCCTTCATACAAAGGGCTCTGACCCGGTAGGTTAAGGAGTAGGACTCAGAGTTTGGTACCTTGGTTGGTGACAGCAGGGCGATTCTGACCAGGACAACGTTGATGTTGGCACCCAGTGAGTGGTCTCGATAGATTTCATTAACCTGGAGCAGACAAACATAGCTTTAAAGGAATCCTTACTGTGGTGGAGGCTTTCCTGATTTATGGTACAGTCACCATTTAAACTGGTGAGAGAGCAGAGAAGCATGGTTCACCATCGGCATGAATCAGAGCCCCTCCTGAATCCAAGCGTGACTTTACATTCAAGTAAACTCAGCCTTTATGCACTGCTGTTGTGTAATCCAACTCTAAATACACCATTAAACAGCTAATTATTACTTAGCTTAGCTAACAGTCATGTTAGCAGTTCAGTTAGCTGAATATGTGTCTAAGCTCTTACCTCAAACTTTTGACTGCAGACATTTCAGCTGTTTACAGTATGCATACTATGAGTTACCAGGCAGACTTTCAGCTGATCATTTCTCACATTTTTAACTAGCTACAACTATAACTCATGTTTCATGAGACATTCAATAATCTCTCACTCCTCCCTTTGATCAATGACCGGTCCTTTAAACATTCCTTTTAGCTCTTTCTTCAAAATTAACTTGATAAAATAATCTTGATTCTTTAAATAAAATATATTTTCTGTTGTTTTTCCACTTTAGGTAGCTGAATCCATCCACGCCCTCCCAGCTGCTGCAGCTGTGACCTCGGGTAAACAGCGATGTTGACACATCCTTGATTAAACTGGTTCTGCTCAGGACTGGTTTCCCTGGGCTTCTCTCCACTGTGTCCTCTCTATGGTTGACTTTATCCCTGAGCTGAGAATCTGTGTTTCCACTTACTATGTTCATCAGTGTCAGGAGATATTTCTGAATGTGGTCTCGGCCGTGGAAAAGAAGAACAGAATAATCCACCGCCAAGAAGACCTAGGGAGAGGAAAACAGAGCAAGAGTTAAAACGTTGAGTAAGTTCTGCCATCAGCAGCATATCATCTCTCACAGTCCACTAACCTCGATGTGAAACAGCTCCGCCTCCTCGATGTAGCGTCTCCTTCGAGCGGATCCTGAGGCCACGTTCAGGTTCAGGGAACCGAAGAGAGGACCTGGAGACAAACGAATGAACCATTACAGCCCTGAAAACCTCTCCATCAGTTTCTAAGAGTTCAAACACTCAGCACTGGTTTAAATTTCTGTTGTTTTATATAAATGTTGGAACCAACAGAGCTGAGTGTGTGTCTGTGTGTGTGTGTGTGTGTGTGTGTGTGTGTGTGTGTGTGTGTCTGTGTGTGTGTGTCTGTGTGTGTGTGTCTGTGTGTGTGTGTGTGTCTGTGTCTGTGTGTGTGTGTGTGTGTGTCTGTGTGTGTGTGTGTGTGTGTGTGTGTGTGTGTGTGTGTGTGTGTGTGTGTGTGTGTGTGTGTCTGTGTGTCTGTGTGTGTGTGTGTCTGTGTG